CATTATGAAAAGAACGTAAAAAATTAACAGATTTACTCAGACACCCTTAACATTTCACAGGCATCAAGGGCTGCCTGAACGCGAACGACTACGGCTACGTGATCTGCGTTCTTCAGAGCCAGCACGATCTGGTGTTGTCTCCTTGCCATTTGGTGATGCCGAACGACGCTCGCGCCTAGGACTAGCGCTTCGACTACGGCTACGACGAGGCTGAACAGTAACATACAAATTACTCTGGTAGAGAAAAATTATAAGGCAGCATAGAATACTCATCAGACGTACTCCTATTAATAATTAGTGTCCAAAGCTGACTTTTTCGGAAACTGCTGGTAATTTCTCGATAACCTGCATATTTGAAGCGTCAAAAACGTCATGGGCTTACAGGAGAAATCTCTTTGTCAACTCAATTTTTGCTCTACCTATTTGGGAGTAATATGGTAATTTGAACCTCCTAACAGATTTTCAAAAATGTTTAGAATTGAAATTTAGAAGGAAAACTAAGTTCCTAGAACTCCAAAAGAAGTCTCGGCGACCATAAACATCAGTAACGCATTTGCGAAGATCATTGTGTTCTAATTGATGAAATAACGTTAACTTCTATAGAAAAACACAATACAATACAACACTAGCTGACGTTTCGGCACCATCGCTTTCCTCAGAGCCGCTTTTTTCGTGACTTCCAGTGAGAAAGTTTAGAACAGCTGATTATAGTCCAAAATAACGTTATTTCAGTTACTTTCACTCTCGACATCAGAACCTCCAGAAAATGAGGTGTAAAAGTTGTCTAGTGCCCTTCGGAAAACCAAAATTTTGTCGTGGCAAAAAATTGTCCTCTAAGCAAAGAACTTTAGCTTCTAATACGTTTCACTGAAATTAATAAAGTTCACGCTAAGCTGAAATATGCTAGTTTAAAACTGGAAGCTGTCGTTATTTTCGAAACGTGCGAATGAAAATTAACTCACACCAAAGCCTGTATGTTGAAAATAAGATTACCAGATGTGTTACGGATCCTAGTTTCCAGAGGTTTCCCCTCATAGTGACTAGGGAGATGAACCTGGGTGTTGGGTTGCGATGTACAGAGGGGGATTCATCCCTCGGCAAGGCCTCTCAAGCTAAGGAGACCGGCATTTCCACTAACAAGCACATCTAAGAGTAACCCAATACCAAGAATCACCACCGTCCTGCTATCAAACTAGTCGCATGGTGGCAAATCTCCTTTCGATCTATAAAGGCCGTGACTTCCATGGGTGATGGCGACCTAAGGAAGGCTTCGGAAATTCAGGGAAGCACAATGGCTAAACCAAAGAATCTCCGGCCTCAACACATAGCACACTATGCGCTCCCATCTACGACGTCGGACGGTGTAACATCCGGTGAAAGGCGACCAAATATCTGGTTACAGAGCACGTCATTGGAAATGGACAAAACAAGCAGGCTCATACCTCACGGAGATTGCTTCTTGTTCTACACCTGCACCACCAAAACAGTCCCTTCAGGCACCGACCTTTACACATTTCTTGATGTTGCATTAATTTCCATGTGAACGTCATACACAGATAAAACGCAGAAAGACCGACATACCCCAACTGGATGACAGATGCCTTGTTAGTCGTAGAAAGAAATTTCGGTTACAAAATGTCACAGGAGTTGAGATTGTCGCACACCTATATATTTCCCATCTAGTCACCTCAAACGAAATCCTTTCACCGCGATTGGGAATTCTTCTCAAACTTCCAAATCAAAAGAAAGTCAGCATCATCTGTTACTCACCAACATGCAGCTGATAAGAGCGAACCGGACGATTTCTATACTTAGGTGGATGAAGTAATCCGCAACGAGAAGCTTCTCTATAAATTCACTGCTCGACACTACAATGCCAGATTAGGAACGGTTAAAGAAAATGAATACAGGATAGGGAGATTTGAAAGAGAATGAATGAAATGAGGATGGAAACTGTCTCGTAGCACTCCTCTCCGCAGCAGAACTTTTCCGTGGGAATTTATTACTCGAGAAGAGAGCAAATCGAGTACAGACACAGGAGTCCCCTAGCGGCACTCAATTAATACGGCGATCGATCATATTCTCGCCAAAAGATAATGATGCCACTTTGACACAACAGTGGTACTTGAATTCTGTACAGGATCTAATCACCGCCTTCTCCGTTCCAAGATTCGATTCAGCCATAAGCTAGAAAAGAACTTCCGTCATCGTGCAAGAAAATGGAACGAGTAGTGCATGACTAGGATATTCTCAAATCCTCTCCACTTATGACTTGCAGATGAAGGCCCTACCGAGGACTATACGCTGCTTATCGAAAGACTTAAAGCATGTGCTGAACTTGCCTAAGTCTTTTAAACGAGAAGTTCAGACCACCTCCATTATCACTTAGGAGTTCCTCGCAAAGAGGACACTGAAGCTTGATCCCGCGGCAACACATCTAACACGGCTGATATTAAATACCATCTGTAAATGTTTGCAGGAGGATTTACAAAAACACAAGCAAAAAGGGTTATTGGAAGCAATCTAAAAACGATCCACTATGAAGGAGTGTCTTCGAAATCTTTGAGATTACAATATTCCGCTATTCCTTATGAGGAACGAAGATGGGACTGTCACCATACCACAATGCGATATGGAACTGATAACGGAGAAGTCCTATAGCCATCTTTTTCGCTCTAAAAGCCACATTTCGGACCCCAAATTCCATGTTGACCAAAATCGCCCGGGATTGTACACCCTGTAGTTCGAATTGCGAAATATCAGCCATGAGTTCCTCAAAACTGATAGGAAAAGAGGTTCGTCAAGGCGACACCATAGCTCCAAAACTCTCTGGTGATGCACTGTAATGCATAACGAAGTCACTCGATTGGAAGGAGGTTGCAACGTCTTGATGGAAAAATCCTAGCAAGCTTTCGTTTTGCTGACGAAACCATCATCTTCTCAAAACATACAAACGAAAGAGGCTGCTCGGTGAACAAAGCGGGAAAAAAAGATTGGACCACGCATAAATAGAAGGAAGACCGAGTTCACGAAAATCCATGACCCGAAGGTGAACAAAGCGAACTGGATGGTTCGCTGATTGCAGACACCACCTCATACATGTGTCTTGAGAATCCAATGAACATGGAGAGCAACAAGGAGGAAATCGACTTAAAAAGAAGAGCAGCATGAACCTCATTTGGGCCACTCAGAGAAACTACCGACCAGTAAATGGACCTAAAGATTCGCGCTCACCATTTCGACTCAACAGTTCTTCCATCGCTCTGTAAAGCAGCACCGTTGCCCGATTCCTCAACCACGTCAAGAAATCCGCGAAGTACGGATACGGTTGAACGACGTCTTCTGAAATTTAGCTGGCAATTAAATAAAACGTCTAGTCGGCAGGTGCAGCTCAGATCTTCATGGCTTATCTCATCTTCGTGACACAGGAGAGTACATTTCGATGAAGTCGTTCACATACGAACAGATGACAGGTGAATAAATAAAATGGAGCGAACTCCATGAGATTGCAAGCGTCTTCATGGAAGACCATCCAAGCGATGGGGAGACATGTTCGTGACCAACCTCTACCATGTGCAGTCGCAGATGACAACAATTCCACAAATACAGAATGTCTCTCGCGCACGTCACCATGTCGGAAGCAGCCGTGAACGACGATAGCGCGTGAGAGAAACGAATGAAACTATGCTGGAATCCGCACAACAAATGAAGACGAGTTATTCAATATCCAAGCATCCAAGTATATGAAACTATCCACATATGGAGCCAATAAAAGGATAAAGGATTAAGCTCTCGGCGTTGATCAATCCATGAGGGACGTGCTATGCATTCGACTTCATTAAGCATCGTTTGGAGATGAATGAATGCATATCCGGCCTTTACAATGACTTGAAGTGGGCTATTGATGTATCGAGCCAGTGCTGCTACCCTCTCAAACAGTTCTGGTACCAATTTACCGACCCCGGAGGGATGGAAGGCTTGGTAGACCAGGAGCGAGGGAATCGACCCTATGTGTATTGCAGCGCGCCTCCGACCATGCGCACACGCGTCCCATGGAGCCAATAAATGATGAAAATATTTCAAAGTAATTTGTAGAATATTTCATAGGGCATTCATGTGAGGTAAGAAAACGCGCAATACAAAATATGATCGAGAAAATGGTACTTTTTAAAAAAAATTTAACCACAACGTTGCTGAGATACTGCAAAACTCTGGACCGCAGGTGTCTATGGTGGAGAACGAACGCGCTATTATCCTTTCCGGGGAGTAACGCGTTCACCACCACACCATGCGGGTCCTTTGTTTCGCACGTCTCTCGCAAAAAATTTAACATTTTTAATAGTTAGTGAAGAACAGATCGATAGCACTCTCTTCAAACAACAACAAAAAAAATGGTATCAAACAGCTAATATTTCGTAACTCACCGATGCACTTCGACTTCTACTGCGAGGAGAACGAGACCTCGAACGGCGTGGCGAGCGACTGCGACTGCGACGACGAGGAGAACGGGAGCGCGATCTAATTTGAAACTTTAAGACCTATTCATATAGGGGTAGTCCTAAACCTTGTCTAGAAAACATCGCACGATTTCTAGGAAGTCTCCCCCATTATTTACGTTTGAGATTCGGAAAGATCTTACGAGCTGAACACTATTTCCATCGTTTTCACGTAAAAAATCGAAACCCTGGAACGTCAACTTCAAATGTCATTATTTACCTAACCATTTGGCTGCTTGCGCATTACGGATACTTCTCACACGTTGCGTCTAACCCTTCTAATTCTACTATTTGCTAGAATTTAGTTCTAGATAGAAAAGGCATCAGTTTTTAACTTGCAAAACTTATGGAAACATCAAAAGAAACGAATGCTTGCTATTTCTAAATGTATCGTGCGATGAATTTTAACAAGGATACTACCAAGTCTTCCAACCAACCACGGACAAATTGACGCCATCAATATACAGCCTCATATGAAAACAAATGCGGGAAACGCTGGGACTATTAATAGCTTGGATCAGGTCGACCATGTAATCGGCAATAACTGCTGGTTCTTTCAGCACCATAGATGCTGACAGCCAGAATCTGCACCCCGAAATGATGTTCTGCACTGATACTGCACTGCACGGCTGCACATCTGCTCTCGGGACTGCTACTGTTTCATTGTTCTGCTCGTCAGCAATTCTGCATACTAGGCGACTGCTTCAGCCGTGACTGCAAACAGCTACGGCCGACCTGTGACAACCACAGTTCAAAACACCTTTTCGTTAAGGTAAACAAGGCAAAATACATTGGAAAAACTAGGAAACAGATTCTATTTTCTGAATGTGTATTGGAATGAAAAGATGATACTCAGACACTTCGTAGCGGAAAAAATTTCTTCATTCTTCTTTGACAACTGTCCATTTAAAGGAAAAAAAGCCAAAAGAATCTTTTCAACCATCTAGTTAAATTTTTCTTCCGAACTTGTTCCATTAGAAATGAGCAAAATTGGGAAAGCGTAACATTTAGATAGCTATCAAAAATTGATAACAAAAACTGCTACGGTCATGATGAAAGTAGCAGTACCGCTGATAGTAATGACAATAATAGTAACGGAAATAATAATAAATCATGGTAATAATGACCCGCAAAGTACGTTTGCAACTACCTATACGAATTCCCAACTGTTTAAAATATGCAAATCACTACCTCATTAACTTTATTTGCGGTTAGTAGTGACTTCTAGCCGAAGCTTCTTCTCGCACACTTTTCCCTTTACAAATTTTCTTACGGTAAAGCCCTTGAAGCAACTCATTTTTGCAGAATGTGCCACTGCCGCTAAGCAAATGAACCAAGAATTCGTCATGTTTTTCACTCTCACACGGTTAACAAACAGTAAGGAAGGTAGACGTTTAAATAACTTATGCGAACCTACACAGTTATGTTGCAGAACAATGGACTAATAAAAGGTCATACCTGGTTAGCGACACTTGCCCACTATGACTAAGATTCTAAAAGGATTTACAGCCTAAAGGCTGATTCCAATAACTTAAAGTGACTTATTTACCTCCCGCGCCTCGTGTAACTGCCACGTTCATCGATTGGTCTTTCATAACGAGCCATCGCAACACGAATTTCGCGACCTTCAACCCAACGCCCATCTGTACGGTCCATAGCGTACTCGGCATCGCGTCGGCTGAAAGTAATTCGTGAATCGACAGTTACTCAGCAAAGAAGTGAAAAAAGGACTGCTTGGAACTTAAATTAGTTTGCTGAACGACATTACCTGTAAAAGCGAACAAATCCGAAACCTTTGCTCTGACGGGTGTACTTGTCTCGAGGGATATGAATGTCTCCAATTTCGCCGTATTTGTCGAACATTCTACGAAGATCAGCTTGAGTAGTATTGTAGGAGATATTGTCGACCTAAATTTATCGACTTAAGTGGTTATGACATATCCGGTGCGTCCGACTACATACTTTCAGTGAGTACAATCCCTCAATCGGCGGAGGCGCACGACGAGACATCTGAAATTGCCATGTACGTGGACAGTGGTTAAACGCATATAAATGCCATGACATGAGATTTAAAACATTGTGCTACTTTTAGCCGGACATACATGACAGAGACCACGAATGCTTTGTACTAGTGGTGCACGGCATTGGGATTACCGATCAATTTGACTACAAATCTACAGCTAACAATCGAATCCACAACTTCATAGAAAGCTTTAACGCTCTTAACAACATGGAACATAACACCAATGATGGAAGAAGTTCGAAAAAGACACCACCGGGACGCCAGGACTCCGGCCCACTCCACGTGACACAAAATTTTGACGCCGCGCTCGCATCATGCATTAGGGAAACTCGTCCGCTGAGAATGCACCTCTTTGGAGCACACAATTACTGGACCTGTTGGGAAACGCACAATCTGCGATCTTTGGATCTTTACTTCCTCAATTTCCAAACACAAATGGTAATTTCTGATATGATAGCATCTTTCCTTAGTAGCTTTACCATGTCTGGCTGTAGACATTAGTCCCTAGTTTCCTGTTAACGATTCACCCCTACTCCATTGGGTGTGCTCCCGAGTGTCGAAGCGCGATACAGAGCAAGTGTTCTGTCAATCAAAATCTCCTAGGCTAAAAATAATCAGGAATCACAGCTATTCAGGCAAGAACATAGGTACTAGCAGGAAGTGATGACGACACGGGGAAGCTCTAGAGCTGCTTTAGAGACTCAAGGGAAAGAATATATTGCACGGACGACAAATTTTCCTTGAAATGAGGAGAGTGCTAGTGAAAAAAGAACGGAAAATCAGCTTAGGAAGCGGTCTCACCGAAATGTTAGCCGTTGAAAACTGAAGTAGGTGTTAACAACATCACAACTGCTCATCAAAGACACCGGCAAGGGCAAAATAACTTGCTTATTGGTGCCGAGATCAACTAAAAGTCGCTCTTCCGGAACTATGCTGAATTTATCCAACAGGATAAACCATAGTTATCAGTTAAACCATCCTCGTTTAGGAAAAGTGCGTTAGAACCCTGAAAGATCTCTTCAAACTGAAGATTAACTCATACTACTCACCCAACTGTGTAGGTGGTTAGGGAAAATCATATGGGAATTGCAAAGACGTCTTGCAAGCTTAGCGCACTTAAGGTCTTTACGAACCTGTCTTCCAAGGGAGGACCTTTCCCATTGAGAAGAACGCCTTCGAAGTTATTTTAGAAATGAGAGTGGGAAATCTTCAGGTATCACAGTCCGACATACAGAACGATTTCAGTGCTATGATAGGGTAGTATTAGAGATATTTTGAGAGCAATTCTGTACTTTGTCTCATCAAATAAAGGATAACGCTAAGTGGAAATATATTTGAGTTCCACAGAAAATAAGCGAAGCTTTATTTCCTAACGATTAGCTCATTGATAAACGAAAAGTAGTACTACTACGGATGGCGCCTTAAAGAATGACAGTGTTGTCTGATGAAAGGCTTGGTTCTCACGAAAACTCGTCCACGTAATTGCAACCATCGAGATGATAATGGAAATCCATACTGACCTGGATCTTGTGGTCTTATTGGACTGTAGTTTAAACAGAAGAAAAAGATGGTTATTATTAATGGACTTCTTGCCACATAAAGCATGTCGCTGGAGTGAAGCCTAGTTTTGGAGCGTGGCGCAGTTGAATTCTATCTCCCGTTCAGTTTCACAGCGGTCAACACCCTCTGAAAGAGACTAGGTTTTCCACAGCAGTTAATAATTTCTCGCTAAGTAAATGACATGAAACACAACGACTATGAGGCTGGGATATTTGCTAAACCAGGATCTCAGACCAGATTCGAACCCGCAATCACCCTCTCCGTGGGCTCACATGTTACCACTGAAGCTCTTGCTTTACCTTTCTCAGCCAGTTTCCTACCCACCCGTAGACGAGAATGATCTGAGGGCTCAAATCGGCACTAAACTCAGTCAAGTTGAGGCTGCAGTCGAAGTTACAACATTAACTTTCTATTTGCTGCCTATTACTACTTTCCACGCCAAGGTAACGGATAAAAGGACAAATCTGTCAGCGTTGATCAATCCCTGAGGGATGCGCCATGCATTCGACTTCATTAAGCATCGATGGTGACTGAAAGCATATCTAGTCTTCACAAGACTCGCGGTAGCCTAGCGATGTGTCAAGCCAGTGTTGTTATCCTCTCAGACAAGAATAATCAGCCCTTCTTAGATACAATCGTCCACCTTAGAGAAGTCCAGCAAAAATCTATTCTTATTAGGTAAGATCGCTGTAAGTCTTCTCAGTAAGTTGACATCTTATGTCTTGGTAAAGCATCTCTAAGTATTTGGTTTCATTGCGTAAAATACAGTAGGCTTATCAAATAATCTCGTCCGGAAAACTGCTTTGTCTAAAGTGTTGAGTTCAGGGAGTAGTTTTTCTGATCCCATTCTTCTTCTTCATTGATTGACGTCTGATAATGTATCGAAGAAATAAACAATGTACAGAGAAAACCTCTGTGCGGCCAAATTAAGCGCCGAAAACAACGTGCATTGAGGTCAATGCACATTGCCAACATCGGCTTTCACCATGCGATTGTTCACAATGCTCATCGTCCACTATGACTTGTTACTATATTCAAATAAACGATGACTTCTCTTTGTTTCAGATTCACCACGAACAAATGATCGGAACAAAGCCTACATGGAAGATTCCAGACCATGACCAAGCTTCCTATGTGTTCACATAAACGAATCCAGAACACCGCGTAAGGTGGTGTAAAAACTGTACTATTGTACTACAAGTCAAATTATTTTGTTACATATTTACTCATGCATTTTTCGCAGTGTAGGGAACGTGTAGCGCAGTGATCGGAGGCGCCCTGCAATACATGTGGGATCGATCGCCACTCCCCTCTTCCACCAAGCCTTGTATTTCTTCGAGGTCGGCAATTTGGTGTCAGACTTGGGATTGATCAACGTATAGAGTTTTATCCTTTACCATCCGGTAATTGAGAGGTTCAACTACATCCCATGCTATTCTCTTCAATAAGTCCTTTTGACATTTTCTGTATAAAATGAATATCAAGAAGCGTTGTTGCGAAATCTCAAATGAAAGGCGACACCACAGATGGCGAGTTTTACACAGCAATGTGTCCGGACCAGAGGAAAGTAGTAGGAGACTAGCGTAGTGGGTCTACACTTTGAATGTACTTCTAGGGTTCGGTTGTTAGAATGTGTTTCACATATTGGTATTTTTCAACACAGCCGTACAAATCTGACTAGAAGCTTTCACGAAGTCTCCTAAAATTGATTCACCCTGTTGAGTTTTCGGATAAAACAAAGTTCGCATGTCTTATAAAGGTTAAAATTAATGAGTTTACAAAGTTCCTCATTTAACTTTTTCCAGGTGAAATTTGCCAGACGTAACTGACCAAAAACTTTCAAGGTGATTGAGCAAACGTTCGCATTTGCGAAACCAGAGGATCCGACAAAGAGATTTGCAATATTTATTTCACTCCATGCAGTTTCTTCAAGAGAGCAATAAAATCCTCATGCGAAGCATAAAGAGGCTCACTGCTATCGACTGTGACCCATCTGACATTCACAGCATCATCTCCGGCCTAAAATACCACTCCTCAACAAAGTTCGCTCAAATATGGTAGGGAATTTTGTTGAAACACGTCACTGTAGATCGCGACAAATCAGAAAATTTTCAAAAAAGTAGAAAAGTTTAAGTACTTGGAACACCTATGCCTTTAAATCAAGCCACTTGGATACTTGGCTGGCTGGTCTTCACTGCTTGTGCATGCCATTAGTTAATGCGGTTCTCTGGAGTCCCGAGGTCACTCTGGCTAAAGGCTGCCCCAGGTCGTCACCACCACAGGCGGTTGTCGTCTTTGTGGATTAGAGGGAGATTTGCCACCATGCGACTAGTTTGACAGCAGGACGGTGGTGGATCCTAGCATTGATTTACTCTTAACTGAGCTTCCCGATGAGGACGTCGGACTCCTTCTCAGCTTGAGAAACCCTGCTAGGGTGATGAATCCCGCCGCTGTACATCGCAGACCGACACAGGAACACCGCCCAACCACGATGAGGTGGCAGACCGTTGGCAGGTTAAATTAAATCAAACAAAATGTTCGCTATACCTTCAATTCAACATTATCCAATAGTGCTTCCGTGTCATGGAAATTAACACACACCGTTTCCATCCAAGCGTTGTCTGTATTGCGAGGGTCGTCTACATATCCTCTAAATTGTTTAAACACAGATCTCTCGATAAAGTGAAAAGCGTGATTAAACTGATTCCATATCTCACCTGTAAAGTTCACGTCCGTTCTTCCAAAGCTGATCTAGTTCAGATCGTATTTTTCCACCCAGTGTCTCTTCCGAAAACTCTCGTTTCAAAGTTTGTGAAACCTCCTCACCGGCCTCGACCATGCCGCCAGGAATGGCCCACTCACCTAGAATGATGTTGGAGTAAATGTACGGAATAAATAAAGTTGATGAATAAAGTACTACTACTTATTAGCATAAATGGATGGCACTCTCAATAATGTGTAGCCTTTCCTTTACATGAGGGTTAAAACGCGATGCGAAGCAAAATTTGCTCATCGGTCCTCAACTCGCATAGGGAAAAATTCAGTAATATCAAAAGTCTGCACAAAAATTAAAGCAGAGTACTCCAGGATGACAAATCGCTCGATACACAAGGCATGGTGGTGCGGACTTACTAAAGTGACATTGGCAGAATAACACGTCCATTTTAATCCAAGGAGAACACTTCTTCCTCTAGAACTGCAGGAACAGTTGGCTACAGTAACCCTTTGTTAAGCCCATAAATATCGTTAAATTCCATGCGGTCGCTATTCAAGAAACCAAGAGTTATTGCATAAGAAAGAAAAACGCTGTCATAAAATTTCTATGGCGCAGTGCTTTGTCATTTCGAGGATAGATAAAGAAGAACGACAGCTTGGATCCTACGGGGATACAACCGTTCTCTGAGAAGATAGCCATAACCTTGGGGCGTGTTTGCAGTGTATTTCAATCAGCCGTATTCCTGGTCAAATGCTAGCTACTGATCAGGAACTTATAAGGTCACATATGCATTAGGTGGGCCACCTGCACGCAAAAGGGTCAGGAGCAGACGGTTCAAATCCAGGCCGTCTTGTGGGCACGCACGATTCTTTAAAGTGGGCGTTTCCAACTATTCTAGTAATAATATGAGGTCTCACAGAGCGTGTTCTCCTTCAATGTGTACTTTTTCCACTGCTTTATACTTTCTGTTCTACAACCGTTAACTGCAAGTATATCGAAAAATGTCCTTTATGAGTAGAATCTCGTTCACCTCTATGCCGCCAGCACCTACTGCACTGTATAACACCCTCTGTAACGAAAGTCCTCCTCCATTTATGCTTGAAACATTGATGGTTTAAACATGCTAAAATATTCCCCTTGTTTTTTCGTTTTTTCTCTGAGTAAATTGAAATATCCTAGATTCTGCAAACGTTCTAGAGGTACACAATCCCTCCGAAGACAACAGATGAGCAACAGCCTTCAATATAACTTTTTCTGCTCAAATTGCTGGAAAAAGAAACCATGTAAGGAATCATTACTGAATTCACCTGTGTCGGACCTTTTAATGGCTACGAACTGCAGTTTGCCATTCTTTAATCTGGTGACCAAAGGATCAACAGCGTGGTTAGGGCCCCATCTAAAAAGCTAACGCAGATGGAAAGAAAACTACCGGACGTTCCTCACACGGAGTGGTATACCTTCCTAGAACGCCTCTTCCACGGAGACCAGTTCTTCCGATCGGATTCATCGGTCGTGCCATAGAATCAAATGCGTAAGCACTGAAGATAGAAAACTTCAAGATCATATTTCAATACTAGCCTCATCATCGTTACTTCAAAACGTGGAAACACAATCGTACCCTACAAACGACACTCTATTGACTTTGCCGTCAACTGTGTTCCACTTGAAGCTGCCATCCGGAATGTCAGGATCGACCCACTTTCTACCCAACAGCTTGGGATCTGTGTAATCGGGAGGATCGTACTCGGGAAACGGCACACTCCAAAGTATTTTCGTTTCCGGTACTGCACAACGATGAACGGAACTTCGCAGATAAGGAATATCTGAAACAGGCTTGAAGGCCAAAGATCGAACTTAACTGAACCAAGCTTAGAGCTAATAGAAACAACTCTTTCTAAAATAAAACTTTTAGCCATTCCGGATCTAGTTCCACTAAAAAACAAAATTACATCGGAAAGTACGACCAGCACAAGGGGACCCTTGATAGAGACATAGGCCTGATGCAACAGGGGTTTGAAGGGCATTTCTCATCACCGTATGAGGTTTCTTTGAACAAAACTTGAAGAATATAGGCAGTTCCTCCCATCATACCTGCTACGCGACATTTCCTGTGAAACATACTCTTAGAACATCCATTCGTGAAGAACAGTGACGTGAAGTTTGTTGCACTACATGACATTACGGAGGCTACCATCTATTTGGCGACAGGTTTTTCGATGGATGATGTTGAGTACTTACTAGGTTTTGCTGTTTAAATTTTGTATTGGCCATTGTAGTTATTTGCCGTAAACGTAATTCTTGCCTAACCTTGCGGATTTAGCGAATGGTTTTGGAAGCGAATGATAAAGACAGACTCGATGAGGTAGATAGTATTTTGGCAGCTGAGGACGGCCAGATCAAACGCTCTCGTGATCCGAAGATGTGCCATCATAATGCTCGACAGAAATGTGCTCATTGTCTTCCTATAGATGTAAGCCGCATTTTATTCTGTTTTATTCCCATTCGTGTTTCATTCATTGCTAACGGAGGTCGCGTGCTTACCATCATATCCTGTTCGCAACGGTGCCTAATTTTGCTTTCTGGGACCAGGGACAGCGCTAAATCATCACCTTATTCGGACTTGCAGGTTTTTTTTTACAACAAGCATTGGTTTCTCAATAACTGCTGGGCTAGAGTGGTTGTGGACACAACAGGGTTGTAGAAATGGCCTTGCTCTGTTCTTCTATAGGTGAAAGTGCTATGTATGCCATTATTTACTAAATGACACTACAGTCCATCGTACAGACACATTGCTGCCAGCAGTCGGAAAGGTTTTGCAGTTTATTTTGTGTCTTTCTGGACATTTTTTATACCCATATATATCCCCTAAAATAACCACTATTCTTCATAGAGAATACACTAAACTCAGTTGGTAGTCAAATTAGCAGTCAGTGGACTTCTCGGAAGAACTGTTTTGCAAATGACGAAGTCAGTAGAACGACTTTTCTGGTCCGATTTCTTCGGTATTGTTCTGCTATCGAGAAACCATCAAGTAATTACGAGAAGTGTGGTGAAACAACTCTGCGTGGCAAAATAAAGAATCCTGTATATCTCACGCCGACCATTCTTGCTGCTACGTATGGGCACCATAATGTCTATGTCGTGACGAATGGGATATTGCGTGACTGGTATCAAGTTTCCTGAGGTATTTGTGGTTTTCTGTTGCACATTTGGAGCGTTGAATGGCTTGTTTTGAAAATCCCCATTCTTTGCAGAAGAATTTAAAAGGAACTTCGAACGAAGCGATTGTACTTCGTCTTCGTGCTCCTTGAAATGGATTTTCTGCGAAGTTTCTTTTTAAAACAGTGAGGGTACATTGAATTGTTACTTTTTCCTCTTAATGAAAATTATCATCACTAACAGACCGAATTAACTGCAGACTTCTTTTTCAAACTTTTGGAATGCCCCAGCTTTTCCACTCCATTTCAAAGAAACAGTTGCGCATTTTGAGTGCATTGATTTGTGGTTATATTGAGATAATGAAAAACATAGCAGAGCATGTAAATGACAATAATTAAACTTTATTGTAAAGGAGTTTTGCAAATATCTCAGCATTATGTACGAGTTATATTTCGCAACATACCCTACCATTAAAAAGAAAAAGGCAGTAAATAAAAGTGCTAAGATTGTGATTATAACTACGTCTCAGCTTAACTGGATTCAATGCCGATGTGAGTTCTCCAGATCAATCCCGTTGACGGGTGTTTGCTGTTGGCAAAAGATCAATAATGAAACTATTGATATTCATCAGTGTGCACGTGTAGCGCAATAGTCGGAGCCGCCCTGCAGTATACATGGGATCGATCCCTCCACCCTAGGCTCACCAAGCCTTCCCTCCGGAGTTGGCAAATTAGTATCAGACTTGTCTGGGGGCTTAACGAGCTTCATCCTTTTCCCTTTAATTGGTGTTTATCCTTCTCTTTTGTATGTATGTGTATGTATGTATTTTAGCCGTATGATGAAGAATATCTGAAGTCGAAGGACATCAAGCACATGTCGTTTCATGCCCATGTGCGCAAGCTGACATCAGGACATGGCAAAGGTTCCACACTGAAGCGTCCGCTAGAGAACATACGGTGAGCAGCAGCCGTTGATTCATCTTAAATCTGAAAAGTTCCTTGTTCAAATTTTGCTTACCGCTCTTATTTTTGCAAAATTGTGGTTGATGATTGGACCTTCTTAGTAAATTTTAGTTTAGAGCTACTATCGATTTGACTTGTCCAGCTCACAAACCGTATCCAAAAGGTGTTTGTACAAAGTGTAAACCGCCAATGATGACGTTAAATCGTCAGGTAAATGAATTTGTTGGTAAATCTGGCTAAAATGCAGAAGTGGGAATTAGCACTTCTTTAATCACAGTAGGCGGGTGTATTGATGGTCTACAAGTGTAGGTCTATTGTTTTTACCGTTTTTTTGCTGTTGTTTCATTGTTCTCTTACTATGTTTGTAAACAATGAGCAAAATAGCCATCCAAAAGTGGTGATGTTTCCATGAGGTCCGTGATTTTCAATGTTTTGGTAGGAGCAGAGACAGTTTCTGTTTTTAAGCTTAGAACAAAAAGTTTATGAAATGAGGAGAGAATTTTCTTAGACCGAGAATAAATCCTCCTACAGCTTCACCCTTATGACGTACTAGTGATTTTCACTGTGAAGTCAATTGACAAATTCCACGAAAGGTTTTTGTGAAAAAAAAGACGTTTAGGAACTTTCGCATTAATGGATATAAAAAGGCAGTATGACGAATTTAAACCACATCCTCCGTGAAGTGGTTTGATTATTCTCTGAAGAAGTTACTTGTCACTCAACTACAAATACGAGGCTAAAGATAGTTGGTAAGTTTCTTTGAGCATCGACAATTCCATGAAACAAATCTAATGAACATGGAAGGTTTTGTGAGTTGTTGATGAAGAACACTCAAAATGGAGTGTTATTTTGTTTCTTTATTTACGGACAAGCTGACGTCTCGGAGGATTTCGCTTTCCTTAGAACTTGGAAAGGTCAAGTTGACACAATCTACCCAACCAAACACCTCCATAACCAAACAGAGAAAATGCTAAACTAGCTTCTTCGCACACTCACTTCTTTCTATGAGTTTTACACTGAATGTGTCACTTGGAGAAAAACCTCACAGACTTCATATTGTGTCCCCTCCCACCAGAATAACAGGTTTAAATACTGCCCGATATCACACGTGATCATGAGGCATTCTTCCTCGCGGTTCATTTTACGATTCTTGGAATTAGTCCAAAATGCCTCGAGTGTTTTGCGCGCTTGTGTTTTCGATTCCTATGCGGGGCTATGAGGAAGGCGAGTTCCGCAGAAACGCGGGCTTGCCCGTAAATAAAGAAATAAAATAACACACCATTTTGAGTGTTCTTTATCAACATTTCACAAGACCTTCCATGATCATCGGATTGATCCAAAGGATTTTCGATGCACAAAGAAACTTATCAACTATCTTTGGCCTCGTAGTAGAGTGATAGGTAACCTCTTCAATGGATAATCAAACCACTTCACTGAGAATGTGTTTTAAAATCTCCATACTATCTTTTTATAGCTATTAAAGGGAAAGATCGGAATTGTTCGATCAATGCCAAAGTTAATAGAAAGTCAGTCGTGGGAGTTGCTCAAAATGGCGTTTAGTCACTTCAACTAGCCAACTCATTGGTGCATAGAACTAAAGTATGGTTTGCCAAAGGTGATCACTGTCATGTCAAATAATCAACGTGTGATTAACGTTTCTATTACCAGTTTTGTATTGAATGGTCTCTATGTTCGACCCATAGATGGCCTATCTTCACATCTGTTTAGCCCAATTCCGGTTTGTTACGTTTCTCCGCGACCCTCGTAAACGGTCTGTTCCTGTCATGATTACGCGTCCGCGCGATTAAGAATTGTCCATGTACGAATAGAAATGCTTTCGTCAAGGAATTTTGAGAATACAAGTAAATCAATCTATCTTGTTGTTGTAGTTGAACATCTTAGAAAATTGCTTGATGCTACCTTGTCTTATCAATGTCGACTGTATTCTGCACATAACCGGCTTATCTATACTTTTCTGTAGCTGTAAACTATTTCACTGGAGCATCTCGACGTTCATCGACTGTTTCTCAGAACGGTTTATATTCATGTGGTCTGTGGTTGGTGCGTAAAATATTTTATATACTTGAGATATCCTCCAACGTTTATCAGTACACCACAGCTCTGGAAAAATATTCCAGTTGAATGCATAACATCGAAGTTTTGACTATGTCAGTTAACATATAACTTCGGTAAGCCAGCTGCAGGCGGTGGTGTCGTCTTTTTGGACTTTTTTCCCACTGAGATTTGGCCTAGAACATGGACTAAATCTATCGCTTCGACCATTCGTAAACTAGTGTCTCATTGTCACTGAACACCTTTTCTTCTTCAGCGAAAATTAGGATAAGAGTATGGTTTGGACGTAGTCCATAGAAATGGATCCCGATCGAATTCCTGCTTGGTCGACTGGTTGATTCCATCGAAACTCGTGTTGCGTGCGTTAGAGGAATCTTCATGAATGAATTAGTTTGGTATTTTTGGCATGATCACTCCCTAAGAAGACCTCCATCACCCTTCCATACCAAAGTATGATATTCTGTGGGTTTTGATGAATATGGTGCTAGAAGTGGTATTTAGTAATAAAATATTGGCTTTTAACTTGTAGTATTTTAACTGGCTACTTCAAATAGAAATTTGCAGAAATACCGGCATGTTGACAACATTTTTTTCGAAAACCAAGATCTCGTGAATGACTTTTTGAATTTCTGGAGGACAACAGGAAACCAGCGTATTGGATACTTAATCGGGAAGTTGGTGCTCAATGTAGAATACATGTATCATTCCCGTGCTCGGTAAGATTTCCACTCCAACACGTGTTTTCTTTTCAGGTACCAGCCGTTCTCAGACGTTCCTCTTGGTATAAAAGCAACCGTTGCAGCAATATACGAGCCACCTCAGAACTGCACACCAGATAGTGTTGAACTACTTGAAGACTCCAACGAAAATGTATCAGCTGAGAGTAACTGCATCTATTATTCTTAGTCTGACTTCTGTCTGATTAATTCTAGGCTGTGAATCAGCTTTGCAACTGGTTGGGATTACGGCGTGTAGGTTGGATTTTTACAGATCTTTGGTCTGCTGACCGAGTGAAAGGAACAGTTCACTGCACAAGGCATAAGGTTAAGATATTAATGGAATCTTTTGCTATTGTCGTTCTCACTATTTTCTTTGGATAATCTTTGGTGCGAAAGACAATTACTTTTTTCCTGAGCTCGAGAAAGATCACGATCAGAACCTGTGGCATTGATAATAAGTGATCTGGTATTCATCTACGTATCATTGTCTCGTTTCTTATTTTGTGTAGAACTTTTTCTTTTCCAGGATGCGTTCTTCCTTTCAGCTGAAGAGTGCATAACAGCTGGATTTCTTCAGTCAATGCATCCAAACGTAACTGAGTATTGCTCTGACCGATATTTCGGCTCGAAATTCGTGACCGTGGTTGCAAGTGGAGATGAGCAAGAGCAAGTAAACTTCCATGGATACCAGGTATGGTGTTTACACAATTTTGTCATGTTTAATTTAAAGTTCTTGTAGGTTTCAAACCAGTGCACTGCTCTTGTGGAAGCACAACTTCTTTGTCCGACAAATCATCCGGAACTGGCCTACATTAGGGAGAAGCCACTTTCAGACACGCACTACATAACTGATGTACAATACACGGTGTGGTAATTTAGTCTGATTCGCAGTACTCATTCACGTTGCATTCTAATCTAAGGTGTCATCTTCATTCCATGTTAGTCACTCTATGTGTAACATGTTAATTTTTGGATAAACGTCTTACACTGTTTCAAAAATTGCTTATTTTCTACAGGAAAAGAATCAGTACGGGGCTGAAGTGCTAAAGAATGGTCGTCCATTGCCGGTCGAATTTCTATTGGTTCGATTTGTTTATTTCTAAGTCCTATTCTTTTACTAAGTCAACATATTAGCGACGATATGCGCTGATTTTAACGCATACGCAATGGAGAATAATTTAGCCGTTGATGTCCAACAACTAAGTTTATAGCGAACTTTTTAATTGAAATGAAAATTGTAAGAGCATGCAAGTTTTTTTCCATTAAGAAAAACACTTATTCTATCACAAAAAAGTCCTGATTTCGTGAAGGATAAAAAAGAAGAGTAGAGCTCTCGGCGTTGATCAATCCCTGAGGAATGCGCCATGCATTTAACTTCATTTAGCATCGTTTAGAGGTTATTTAATGCATATCTGGCCTTTACAGTGACTCGCGGCAGCCTACCAATGCACTGAGTCAGTGTTGCTATTCTTCTTGACAAGTTTGGTTCCAATCTTCCGTCTCCGGAAGGATGAAAGGCTTGGTGGGCCAGAGGCGCGGGAATCCATCCGTTGTATATTGCAAGGCGCCCCCGACCACAGCTCCAGGCATGCTCGAGTAGTATAGTCGTTAGTATCCGCGTCTGTCTTAGAGGATACACATTTTTTTTCTGCTTTCTGTTAAGTTGAAATCTGGAGCAGCAAAATGGTTGAATACCCAGGATTTCATCGAAAAGAACGTGGTGCTGTCACCAGATATGTCGTTGGTCTTCGTAGCTGCCGCGCTTACGGCTGTATCAATATTTTCTTCATCCGAGAAAAGAAATCAAAATATGTTATCGAAAATTATAGAACGTTCATAAAGATATAGGAAATTCTCTTCCCTTAAATCCTCAAATGCTCCATTTCTTGGAAAGTTATTGATAGTTACAGAAAATCAGCATCGTCGGGAGTGTTAGTTATAATGGCAGAAACATCCTAATATCTTCGTAGTAGGATTTCCGTTGACCTAGGTGGATGTGCCAACCGGTATGCCTAAAGAGCCACAATATACCTTCCCACCTCCTCCAACAACTCGTTTTGCCATTGAAAATCGAGAAACAATGGGTGAGACACAGGTATCTCATGGTTGTTCATTTCGCTTGATTATTATACGGTTCATCTTGCAGTACTTTACATTCTTTATATGTGGTATTCCGTTTGTTTATGTTATCCTCTAAAAAAATATTTTAGGGAGGGGAGAATATGACTGCTTATTGTGCCCAGTTTACTCAGAATCAATCCTTGGAGCAAGCAACCAACTTCCACTTCCTACTCTATCTTATTACCAATCATCTTGTACAATTTAGCGAAACCGAAATACAGGTTCGTATCCTACCTATGTACTACCATACCCACTGTACGGGGGCAATATCAAGACCCAGAGTCTCATAACTCTTAGTGTTTCAAAGTCCAATACTTATTGATTTTATGTTTCCCAGAGGCTTTGTTTCGCAGTCAGTACACAAGATCGACAAGCAGCAATTGAGTGGACCCTGGAAACAGCAAACTGGCAGCAACTCGTCGCACTCTGTCTCGAGCAAGGGCAAAGTGAGTTTTGTGGTCACGTTTCTGCTCTAACATTTGCGTCAAAGTGTTTAATAATAACGCCCATCTAGGACTTAACAGCATTCAGCAATATTGTTACTATTAATCTTCTTCTGTTTTTAAGGCCATGCATCAGCAGCAGGAACAAAATGGTCCTGCAAACATTGCACTTTCGAGAACACCGAGCTACGAGCGGACTGTTCTATGTGCGGTCTGCCACCGAATGAATAACATTACGTCCGGTGATATTGAAAATGATTTTTTTTCTAATGATGTTAAGTGTATAGTTTTTACTGTATGGTTATACTTGACACAAACCCAAAAGATAATTTATGATGGGCTATCAAAATATGTTGCCACCGTAAGGTTTATCACATTTTTAAGCGTATATTCACCAATCCAGTGGTTCGTAACTATAGTACACATATTTATTGCAATAGAATCTTTACTGTTTCTGATTGTGAGAATTTCTGTGAAGAAATAAACGTGATTCAACATCAGACAATTAGTGAAAAAACATATGCGAAATCAAAAGAAGAAAAGGGAAGTCGCAACCATTCCATGGTAGGTTGATAACTCGACATGAACGAAAAGGTATGACTTCGTGGTAATCACGTAAGGTCCTTGCTTGACGACCATCACGCAACAGCAAGACGAACACGAAGAACTGTTTGAATTCACGTAGAATGATGGCAGTGTGGTACCGATGCATCATGACAATTACAAGCGGTAAGTTAAAGCGTGGTTAACACTCCTGGTTATGTCACTTATGAGGGGACCAAACAAAAATTAAATAAGGGTGTAGTTGCTCGAAAACAACGAATATCGTCTGTTCTTCTTTGTTTATTGCCATAATGGACGTAAACCGAGAAGTTCAGAATATGGGTTGTCAAAACCGAGTTGGTCACACAGAGCGAAAGCTGATGAATAATGAATAGATCATCTCAGGTTAATATCATCCAGAGGTACTTTACTATTTTATTTTTCAAATCAAATGAACTAGAATGGATAGAAAGGCAACCTGGTTAGCCATCAATGTTTTGCGCTTTTACGCTCCAGATCCATATATTGCCACAGTGACTCTTTAGGAAAGCGTTATAAACAGGCTAGTAGGTTAGCGACGTACTTTTCGCAACTGGGAATAACAAGTAACAAATTACACAAAAGTAGAAGCTTTAAGTTTTGTAATACGGGAGTTCAGTCCATTACTGCTCCTAGTGATGTTCCGTACTGCTTTTTCAATTAGTTTAATTGAGCATGCTTCAAGACCCACAGAGAAATAGAGACTGTTAAATGCAGACCATACACAAAGTAAAAGGCGTCGAACTACTCGATTCCTGATTTCTTCGAACAAATTATTCATGTGTACCCAAAGATTATAAAAACATGGAGTAAATTCCAGCGAATTATGAGACCTCGATGAAATCTTCAAAGAAAAACAATCGATTCAGCTTAAGACGAACACACCAACACCGTTAAATAACTGTCAAAAAAACGGAGCAATATGATACAGAAAAGTCCTATACAGGACAGAATCTGATGTCCAGCTTCCCGCTGTGCGTTTTCAAAGAATGTTCGAGCACAAGTCCATTAGAACTCAATGCATCCTTTGCAACTGAGCGCCTCAATGACCGGTTGGGTTACGCCTACGCTCACCATTTGCCGCTAGAAGAGCTCTTGTCTTTTCCGCATCTATTAGGGTATAGTTAACTGCGCCATTCTCAGCGTCAGTACGTTGGCCGACTGATGAGCACCTTTAGTCAAGCAATTAACTTCTCAATAGAAAAGTATCAACATTTCTCAATTACCTGCTGGGTACCCGTTCAGGTTCAGAACCCAGACCAACTTCGGCATAGTTAAGAGGACGAGGAGAATTGGTTGCATCGCGATCCAACAAAGGTCTACCTCCTGTCTGAATTCAAAATAATTAATCATTGTTTAACTGAACTACAACGCAATGAGTTTGTATGTGCCTTTGAGCTCGAAAACACTAGAACTAAAAACTAGGAAATAACATCGTATCTAGATAATCTTCAAAAATATTCTGTACTGACTTCTACCACGTTAACGTATCTTCCGGATGGTAGCGTCGAATCAAAATTATTCGAATGGTTAAGCATTGAAGATGGAGAGGCTGGTTTTGTGTAACAGAGAACATTGGTTGAACCAGCTCCAGTGTCCCTAATGATAGAACGACCATATTTTCTTTCCAAAACAAAGTGGAAGATTTTAGAGAGAAACCGAAAGAGAAGCCGTCATAAGCACAGCCTACCACTTCAACGGGAACACAGTGCGCGTGGGAGTGTTTGGTAAACTGCATTGACTGCTTGATGAAGAAACACCACGAGATCTCTGAGAAGCTGGAAAAAAGAGAAACAACACTCTGACAAACAAATCGTCAACAATCCTCTAAAGAAAATGTACCGTCATTAAACACTTCCTGCGGAGAAATATTGACATAGGGAACACAGAATACGCCGTTTGAGGACTTCAAGCTATTACCGGAATTGCGCCGTTGTAAAACTTCGTCCATCGCTGAGGGATTAGTTCTTTCGGAACTGTAATTTATTAAGCTTATAGAAGATTGAAAAGAGTTAGAAAGAAAGATCAAATACAACCCGACATACACAATACTTCCTACTAATCGCTGGTCGACAAATGTGTTATGGCGATGGGGATGGAAACTATCGGGAGGAAGGCCGGGTGAGTCTCCTTCTCCAACACTTCTACAAACGTTTAATTAATCGGCTTGGAGTGATTCAATGACCAACCGATATCGCTAGCAATTAAACAAACCTTGGTCTTGGAGGAGGCGGTATTACAATATTCCGAAGTCGTTGTGCTGATCCACGATGATACGAATTATATCCAGATGGGTGGGCTAAGTATTCTAATCCCACACCGGCTCCTGAACGTCAGCAACTCTTTTTAGGACAAAATGACACCGCTACTTTTGCTTTGACTCCTTCTATTTCATTCTTCCTTACTAACTGTGCGCTTCCACATCAATATTTCCCATGTGTATTGAGCTATGTGAACTAAATACAATCTCATAACTACCTCCTTAGAATGCATGCATAGCAGAACTAGAGATGGACTAATGATGAGGCAGTTTGTTTAATTTCGTTCTGAAATGTGTCTAAAACAGAAACAGACACCGCCACGTAACTACCGACATAAAACCCTACAGACAACACCTTTTACAAAGTAAAGAATGTTGTCTATCACTCCTTAATCAAGTACAAGCTATTTCAGGGCTTTCAAACAACGGTTCCATCAACTCTCATCTTGCTTACTTCCTTTTGATAGCTGATTGGATAAAATAAAGGATAAAGCTCTCGGCGTTGATCAATCGCTGAGGGATGCGCCATGCATTCGACTTCATTAAGCATTGTTTGGACACGACTGAATGCATATCTGTCCTTTACAATGACTCGCGGTGACCTACCGATGTATAGAGCCAGTGCTAGTATCCTCTCAGACAAGCCTGGTACCAATTTTTCGACCCCGTAGGATGGAAGACTTGGTGAGCCATAGATGCGGAGATCGATTCCACGTGTGTGTTGCAAGTTTGGATATGGCTCTGTAATATCTTTGCAAACACCGTCCGTTTTTGTTCGAGGGTTAACGCACTCGACGAGTAACTATCAGCTGCATGTACTTTCTCAAATCTGTCGTGGTATGATCAAAGTAACTTTCTGTAAAACTGCACGTCTTTGTTTATTAGACCGGCACACTTGAAGACACAGTGGTTCAGAGGCTCTGTAGTTTTTTGTATTTGAACATCTGCATTTATATAAACGTTAGCTCAAAATTGGCCATTCTTCATAGCAGCGCCGTTTTTCTTCAGTCGAGGCGTAGAGATGGCGAAAACCCTTCCAAACCACATTGTTATCCCACTTGATATTGTCCGCTCACCTACCTTCAATTAGCATAGAATAGAGTAATGTTAACCAAGTTTTACACTTCCGCATTATCGACATATTAAAGTTATTGTCAATCCTCGTGCAGCTACTATGTGTTGTTAGTGTGCGCCTTTGTTAGTCCAGCAACTGTAACATATACTCGTGTTCTCTGTAAGTACTCTACAGAGGTCACTACGGCCAGATCAATTCACCCCACTGTGCCTGAATCCATCACTAGCTATTGATGTATCTGTGTGATGTCCGCTTTATCCTGCTTAATACCTTCTCACCTTGGAGAGCCCTCTCCCTCATTGATAGGACAGCTCCTTCCTCCACGGATCTCTTCATATGAGGGATCTCGAGCCGATTAGTCGCGAAGCTACGTGGCACGTCCCCAGGTGGCGGATAGGGGGTTAATCGCAGACCAAAAGCGACCTTTGCTTCCCTAAGACGCAGGTGGATCCAGAGGATGAGTTCCCTGTTTCTGCTGCGCCAATTTGGCACATACTTTCTGTGATTGCTGGGGGTATTCATGCATGCGTGTGTCGGTGCGTTCTCGCTTACGCGGATTGTATTCCACGAGTCAATTCCGCCAAAAACCTGCAATCAAGTCACAAAGAAGTATATGGCAGGCGGTAAGGAGCGGTCTCCAACAAATCAGCTCTATGTCCACCCTCGGATAGCCTGACAAGCTACCCGTGAGTGAACTCGGCCCCCACGTTCAGAACCCTGCAAGCCATACGTCGGTATCAAAATGCTAAACATAGTAAAAAAAAGCCGGGCCTCATTCCCCTGACCGCGAAAGAGCCCCCAATTTCGCAGCGTTGGGTAGGACGAGTACGGAGAGGCTGCTAAAATATCAGCGCCAATGGAAGCTGCCTGGATTACAAAGAACTATGGTGACGACTCGTACCTACAATGCACGTACACTTGCATCCGAGTCCTCGATAGAAGACTTACTCATGCAAGCAAGAAGGATTAGGTACGAATTTATCGGCCTGGCTGAGCCGAGACGACGCCACCCATTCAATGACGCCTGTGACACGGGAGAAGAACTATTCCACGGAACACGCGACAGTAGAGGAGTAGGCGGCGTCGGCATTCTCTTCAACACGAGTTTGTCCATGAGCATCGATTCATTCCATCAACTTACAACCCGAATCGGACGTTTACGATTAAAAAGATGTGGATCAATACCGGTTTTGACAATCATCGTCGTTTACGCGCCGACATTAAACTATGACGAAGAAGAAGTCCAAGCGTTCTATATGGACTCGGAGAAGTTCTACAGAGAACACCATACATTCTTCATGGTCATCATTGGAGATTTCAACCCCAAGATTGGACTAAGAAGAACGTCTGAAGAACGCCACAGTGGGACCCACAGATTAGAACGGAACGAACAGGGTGAACGACTTTCTGAGTTTATCATGGCGACCAAGACCATCCATGGTAACTCGCAATTCCAGAAACCCCACCCTCAACGCTGAACGTGGGAGTCTCCTAATGGAGAGCACCATAACGAAATAGACTACATCATAGTGAATAGAACGTTTTGCCTAACCGAAGTCGCTGTTGTCCCAAAACTCTACACGAGATCAGACCACCGTCTCCTTCGTGCAAGATTCTATTTCTCGTGAAAAAGAGAAAAAGCCGCTGAATTAAAAAAACGAAGTCCCAGAACCACCATAAAGTGTAACTGATTCAATTCATTAGTCAGCTGTTGGGAAGATGCCGTTGTCGATAAAATCGACGGAGAATACTCATTTAACATCTTCACATTAGTGCAATGAAAGCCGAGAGTTCGAAAGTCACCAAGAGACGTATCGCACGAGCTGCAGACAACCGCGAGCTAACATCCGAACTTACAAAACAATGCAGACAGGCGATGAAAAAAAATCATACGGAGAGAAGTGCAGCAGTAATGGTAGAAGCTGCAGAGGCTGGAAATAGCATTCGTAAAGCCCACCGAAACTTCGCCAATTGCAAGACCAAGACGACTGTACTCCGACACCCAGACGGAACAGTTACAATTTTAAAGGCCAATATGTTATTCGGTGGGGAATTGGGCAGCAGGAGGTCCGGACAGGATAAGACCAGAATACTTGAAGCACCTTCCGCCACCGCCAGTTCTCGTAAACACACTGGCTCGGTTTTTCACACGTTACCTGAATGCAAGGTCCCTCCCTACTCAGTGGAAGACCAGCAAGACCGTGTTATTGTTCAAGAAAGATGAGCTACACGGTATCGGCAGCCATCGCCCAATCTGCTTGCCTCTGTCGTCTACAAACTTTTCACTTGAGTCATCCTAAATAGGATTGACAGAACACTGGACGAAGGACAGCCATGTGAGCAATCAGAGTTTCGAAAAGGATTTAGCACGATGGGCCACATCCATACAATAACAAGGCTCACTGAAGTATCACGAGAGTACAAAAGACCGCTCTGCCTCACTTTCATCGATTTACAGAAGGCCTTTGACTCAACTGAGATAGAAGCAGCCATGGAAACTCTTGATAATCAAGGTGTCACTACTCAGTACATAAAGATTCTTCGTTGATTCGTGAGCTGTACAAAAATCTCACAACCAAGATAATATCACCATTCTACAACGATGTCAACATTGACGTCAAAAGACGAATGCTTCAGTTATGTCCGTCTTGGTCGGGAAATCAACATGTTGAACGACTTAGCTCCAGAGCTGAGCAGAAGGAAACGAGCGGCATAGAAAGCTTTCAAGAGCATCAAGGATGTAGTGAATAGGATAAACAACACTCGTCTTCATGCCCACCTTTTCGGCTCAACGGTACTTCCCGCCCTTACGTAATCAGTCAGCGTTATTGAACGCGCAGTCGAAAGAACGATGCTAAGAGTATCCCGTTTCACACAAGTAAGGGATGGGATCCGAAGCTCCGACCTGCGTCAACGATCAAAAATCAAAGATGCCATTCTGTACGCGAAACAGTGGAAGACAAGCTCGGCAGGACACGTAATGCGTAATGAATGACAACCGATGGACAAGAGCCGTTAGTAACTGAATTCCTCGGGATATCGAACTTACTGCAAGAAGACCACCGACCCGATGGTCAGAGTTCTTCACAAAGAGCCTTGAAGAAAGATATGACGCTCGACGAGTCTCTAGGGCGAGCAGAACCCACTGGGCTACTCTTGCACGCGATAGGGAAAAATGGAAGATTTGCTGGCGTCCGCTCAAGTCACTCGACGTTCAACGGCACTACAGGTGATACAGGTGATTCTATTTCACACCTGTACATCAGATCACTCCACCTGCTTGTGGTAAGCTCGCTCTCTCGTCTCAAATGTAACCTCCCACTCGTCATTTTCCCTTACTCATCATTTTACCGTCATATAGCCCCCAATGTTCTGGTGTTATCACATTGCTGTTGTTCTTGTGTTACCACTGTTATAAACTGTTAATTACCCAAGTCTGAGATTTTAGTCTGCAGCGACGACAAAACTCCCACGTGGCAAGCACACGACGAAGTCCAGCATTCTTTTTCGAACTCGTAATTACTCGGTACTGACAACTGACTCAAACTACTGCATTCCACGGAACTATTCACTATAGCGACTAAACTTGTTCAATATGAGCATTGAATACAGTTATCCCGATACTTAACTTGAAGGTTTTAATAATTCTAAGACACCTACCAATTCGCAGTAACTTGCACTGCTCTCTGAATAACTAATAGGGATAAACGAAAGGTTAACATACCCTCACTTCCATATCTTTGAATGGGATTAATACATCTTAGTGACACTCCCGTACCCATGATCGGGCCAGTGCTACGAGCCCTTTCGTTTCGCCGCATAATTTCCGCTTGATTTGTGTTGGCATTATCCTGGATTCGCGATTGAACGAGCTAGAACAAACAGTTCTGGCTTTTTATTCCCTAAACTTTTGAACAACAAGAAACATTTGGTGACAATAGTCAAGAACAACGGTACATCGAAATCCGGAGAAAAAAGGCTTTCTTACTTGAAATATGGCGTCAGCATTTTGGCTTTGGAATGTATGTAAACCCTCTCCTGTGGGACATCGTCGACCACTTTCGAAAAAAAACACACCTTAATTAGAAAGTAAAGTCATATATATACGCATGCAATGTATTTTATATGATATAACATATCACATAGGGGATAGCAAAGTGGTTGTGATGTCTACCACCAAGAGCACGGTTTTGATCCGATCCCGCCCTAGGCTCACAAAGCCTTTCTCACCTCTAGGGTGGGAAAATTGGTACTAGACTTGCCAGAAAAAACCACACTCTGCAATTCAACTGGGAACACTCCAGTCTAGCTATTTCAAGATTCCACGAATATCCTACTCGACCAGTATTCTACGACATTCACGCAAGAGATAAAATGCGAAATTTCAAGCTATGTCGATAATCAAAACGAGAAACTCCGCCGAATAAGCTATTGAAAATCTGCTAGGTTGAACAGACGATCCGTATCAATAAGTCTCCGAATAAAAGTCGTGAACCATCGTTTCTGTAGGATGACAAAGAATCAACAAGAGAACCACTGGTCCGATTGTCAACTGTCTTCAGAAAGATTTTAAACGAGAAATTTAACGGCTTCTATGCCCATTATTAATGTTATTGAAACGGACAGAGTAGCTCTGTTAAGTTTTAGGAACAATTGAACAATCTGACACGTGTGGTGACATCATAAACGATCTCAGCTGTCTAAATGAACCTGGATAACTTTTCATTCCTCCATTTAAAGTACATAGGTCTGCACTTTTAAAAAAGTTCTCCATCAAAATTTCTTATCAAAGTTCTTGCAATTGAAATGTTCTCATGGGCAATATCTTCGCGATGACATTACCGCTGATGAGATGATTGGTAGTAGTCTTCCCTGCAGAACCGTATGTCCATAGAAAGTGCCCCGTCATCAAAGCCGTAATAGCTTAAGGTAAGTGTTCAAGCCACTAAGACTGTTCCAGCCACATTTTTGTCAACCTTGCTAGAAGGAGTCGTTGCCCTCAACCCCGTGCTAACGAGAAGACTAACTTCAAGAATTCAACCACATTTGGGTCTTACAACTATACATATAGAGGAGATGCGAGTCAAGCACGCGCAAGAAAGATGTTTATAGGAAGGCGAAAAAGCGCAAAAAAAAAGAATCGTTGTCTCATCATCGGTACCCAGGTTGAGTTTTGCACTTACGGCATAACCAAAAAGTAAGTAAAAAGAAAGATCTACTAGGAACGAACCTGCAGATGTATATCCATAACGACGAAGGAATTGTAAAGGCCACACTACAACATCCGCTTTCGACCGTTCCAGTATAACATCATCGGCAGAAACTCGCAACCAGGCTTCAAAAAACACTTTTACTTACGCGTAATGAGAAGAAAAAACAATGCTGAGCCACCTCTCCAAAACAGGGTTACGTACACTTTGAATCGAGTGTACATCCTGTAGCTAGATAGAAATCTGGGAATAGTTGCTGGAATCTTACCGTGGATGAACTTGTTCCTTCTGTGTAGATAAACTCGAAATGAAGTCACTTGCTTTTCGGGATCAGATTTCACGTTCTTGAGAAAGTCTTTATGGCCTTTCTGTGCATCTTCGCTAATACAGTTCCCCATTTTCAGCTAACATTTCTAGAGCTGCAGACTAAAGCCAGACAAAATAACTGTAATATAGCAAAGAAAAAGAAGAAGGAACTAAACCAAGCATTTTAAAATATGGATAGATGGAAACACCAATAATTTAAAACGAGTCTTTCGAATAGATTTATTTGGTCAGAAGTCAGAGAAAGACAAGAGCGTACATCACAGACAGAGATTTTAGGGAAACAGGGTTAGCTTGGATCCACAAATCTTTTTAAGAACGCACTAAATATGTGTTTATACTTTGCCGTCGATGGAATATAATGCCCGCCTTCATGTACAATTGTCATACTGTCACTGAACATCGATCTGAACTTCTCACTTGTCGTGGAGAACACAATCTGATCACCCGTGCCATAAATGTGTAGAGTCGGAACGTCACAAGTAAGAGAAATATATGAACTATGAACTGCAGAAAGACTTAAGAATCCAGAAATCAGAATCGCAAAACGGAAACCTAAAGAGATTTCACCACGTTTCTCCATCACTAGGAGCAGGTGAGCCATTGATGCGCCTTGACTGAAGCCAAGAATTCCATCAAACGGACCATTCTGACATAAGTACTCGCAAATAAACGAGACCTAAAATATGAAACCATAAGGAAATCTATTGAAGTGATTGAAAAGACACCAGTTTTAGATATAGAACCACATAAATGCTACGAATTCATATGGTTCGTTTTTTATTTCCTCAAGTTGGTCCCAACTTCTTTTCGCAAGTAATATCTATGCAACAACGACATATTCCAAATAATTCTTGAGCCCATAGATTGTTCTATGAACAAGAGAACATTAAGAACTGTTCAACAATTCTCTTTTTCTAGTGCAGCGATTCCCCCGAATACTAACAGTAATATGAAGCGTATACGAGTCATAACGTGTGCAATAATAAAACCCAGAGATCTTTTCGAATCATATACAGGACCTTTTAATCTACCAAAAAGGAATTTTGATTTTATGGAACCAAAAAGAAATTTTTTTTCGCTTTTTCTCCCATAGCGCTATATTTTGGATACCAAAAAAAATTAACAATCGCTTTGTATGAAATAATATAGCCCTTGTTTCGAATGTGTTCACGACTGTAGCGATTGAATAGAAAACTTCAGAAAGATCAATTTTTTTTTCTCCAAGTTTTCGGAGAAACTTTAATCCTAAACAATTTCAAAATTGAAAAGCAACAAGAGGAAGATTACAGATGCCTCCAACGCGATAGATCAATGTCTCTTCTATGGGTCCTGAGGTTTCCAACACCTCAACCACTCCTTTAATCGGAAAATTAAATGCAGCTATTGAAAAATAACCACGGTTATTAATGATGTCGATGAAATGTTAACCACTCTAGAATAACAGTACAAAACCACAATTTACAAACATAATGATGCCGAGATATTTGCAAACCTCCTGACCGCAGGTGTCTGCGTCGGGGAACGAACGCGTTATTACCCTTTCCGTGGCTGACGCGTTCACTACGACACGTCTTTCGTTTCGCCTGTCTCTTAGCAAATTTTCTATCTACCAGCAACTAAAATTTACTCTAAGATTCGACGAAGTAGTGAGTTGTTATAGTAGAACATTTGTTGTATATAACCGAAGGCAGTACACACGCATACTACTTTGTTTAGATAGAAAAAAATTAAAAAATGACAACTGGATGAAGGCTGTAAGACGATTTGTCCCTGATATGCTCACTATAGCCCATCAACAGTTCCATTTCTACCAAAAGTCGGTTAGAGGACCTTTCCATAGTAAATGCTTCTAATCACCAAGCAATACTACGAACTATCCAAAGATGTTCTGAAACAGAACAGGCACCTATGGCAGCAACGCTTTTTTTCTTTTTTTCTTTTTTTCTTTCCATTTGGAGTCAGGTGATATGCAAAAATTTCTGTGAGAAAACTATTATCTGATATATCGAAATGGCTCATAAGAAGCGACCGGATCTCACAGAAAGGATCGGGTAGGCTCGAACACAGAAAACATTTTTAGCATGAACAGCACAGGCAAACTTTCAATATTAACGCAACTATCCGACCTTTCTAGAAGTGCTAAGATGGTAAAATAATGTTCGCCTAGAATTTTAAAACAATGTATCGTAGCCCACAGTTGGGTTTATTGATTGTAGTAGAAACTATTAGAATCCGCAAATCCTTCTGCACTGGAAGAAACTCGCATCATCTGCCAGGTAAAATTCGGATTTTTTTCCAGCCACGACATATGTTTCTTTCGTTTCATTGCTATAGGGCTAACATTGTGAAAACACAGGCAAATAAACGAGCGGAACGTCGTCCAGTAGGAGGCGATGGATGGTGTTCTCCAACACATCGTTCATGTTTACAGCTGCTCAGCTGCTACTCCTCGTTAAAAATTGTCCTTCAATTTTGTTTTAAGTCTCTTGAAAGTTTCAATTCAAAACAAATTTTATCTCAAGGGAATACTGTGCAAAAAGTACATAAGCGATCAGTGGGATAGATCAAATCTCTTCTATAACTCCACAAAATATTCTACAACAGCCATACTTACAGACTTCTCGAATCCCTTGGCTATGTTGCAAACGTCCCGAGAACTGAACTGGTCGTCCTCACGCGAAAACCACCAGCTACGAACATCCTCCCGCTCCTCGGATACGACGTTCGGCGACAGCGGAGCGCTAACGAACTCGAAATTCGCGTACTTCTTCAGCTGTTTCCTAAGACTGCCAGACTTCTCACGAAACAACACATCATTCTGACGATAACCATGAAGACAAAGTATTCGTAGTCGAGTTTTAACAGCTGTCATAACCTAAAAATGGACATTCCAATAGCTCTAATTAGGTACTCGTATCTTCCACGCATCTCATAAACACTGGTTTTCTTCAAACGTACTAAATTTACTGAGAGACTAGTTCATTCCAAGAAGGCGACAAATTTGCCCTGTAGTGTATAAAAAAGAAAAAATAATGCATCCAAGTCATACGACAAGACGGGAATGTCCACCTACCCAGGGTGAAATTTCACTGGCCCATGGGCGATTGGCTCGGGTCAAACGATTTCTGCGGCGTCTATGGTACTCAGAACGTTCATAATTTTCATAAGTTACAAGGAAAGTGGCGAATCCTTACAGAAATTCCGAACTAAACAAAAGCTTCAAATCTTTAGTAACAATTTCAAGCATGTAGTAAGACATCTTATAAAACGATAACATGGAGAGAGAAAGGGATAAAGCCTGAAAAGAGCCCAGAACGCAGCGGTCGGGCTCTCGGAGATTCGGGTAGCCAGACGAGAGTGTCGGGAGAAACGATGGAAGCTGAGATATTGATCCTATTTAAACTACGATGGTGTCAGAACGTGTGACAAGTGTTTGGCAGCGCTGCAGACAGCTGCCGAGCGGATCTCGGCCGCAAGACCGAACCCGGCATACACTTCGGAGCCTGGACACCCGGGCCACACGTGTTGATGCCATGGGAACATCGCGCAGAGTTCTGGTTGGACCATCTAAGCCGCCCAGAACGTTCTTTAGCAGCCGCGTGGTCACTGAAGAAAAACATCATTACTATTTAGAAAAGCCACCACGTGCAATCTCTGCACACGTCACGCTCGGTGCTTCATAGACTTTTGTAGATCATAAACGTTGATATGTACAACCGTGTAACTACGGACACGTGGCGTTTAACCCTTCTCTGAAGCATGTGTACCCTTTGGTAATTGTTCAGTAAAGGAAATATTACGCAAGTGATTCACCTAAATGGGCACGTAAAGCGCATTGATCGGAAGTGCCCTACAATACACATGGGACCGATCCCCGCACTCAACGCTCACCGAGCCCTCCATCTCTCCAGGGTTGGCATTGGTACCAGATTTATTTTGGAGGATAGCACCACTGGCTCGATACATCGGTAGGCCACTGCGAGTCATTGTAAAGGCCAGATAGGTATTAAACCACCTCCAACGATGCTTAATGAAGTCGAATGCATGGCGTATCTCTCAGCGATTAATCAACACCGAGAGCTCTATCCTTTATCTCTTCCGATTCCACTAGATAAATGGAGTGATGAAGCAGTCTAGGTAGACGATCTTGCTGAACGGATAGAATCCGACCACGTCGAGATCCTATGAAGGTAACGAATTTCGGAACCTTGAATGTAGTAGGCTGAACTGCTGGCAAACAACCGGCAACTTCTGGATACCACACGGTAAGCAGGTTGTGTTTCGTCTCTAGTACTCAACTCTGTCACAAATCCTCTAAATCACAAAAGAAGAAAACCATTCTGCTTTCAAGCATAACGCCTTAGCTGACTGACTACCTTACATCCGTAGAGTATTAGTACGTGAACAGTTTCTTCAAAGGTCTGAATAGACTGGTTAACTCACCAATGTCAGCTTCCATGGTAGTTCTTCAACGACTATAAGGCTTCGAACAAGGCGATCGTTCTGATTTCCTCAGTTTACAGCTCGTAATAATCATGTTTGCCGATTTTCTCTTTCAATCCGCCTTTTACACCTCCATTTTAACATTTGGGGTTTGTTCATGGCGAGGAAAACGTAGCCGTCATTGCCGTACAGAATTCCAGAAGATCAGATAGAAATGATACAAACAGTGTGATCCACTTCAATACATCTCTTCACTCCTCCTACGACCCTTCGTGCTTCTCTTCCACAGCCGAAACAGTTCCGAACATGGTGAGATCCATCGGAACGAAATACGGAGTGTCTCAGGAATCTTCTTTGAGCTTACCTATAGTAGTAGAAAGTTAATACTGAGAAATGCCCCCACCTATACCAGTGGTTCACTTGGTAAACTCGTACATTTACCCTGGATTTCTGATGCTACACTCTTAAAAACTTTCATCTCTTCCTGTTGAACGTTGGAAACCGCTGAAAAATCCTTAAAATCAGAGTTGAATGTTCCAAATTCCTCTTTATCGTAGTTGGAGACTCCCGCGTAAACGATAGAGATGATAAGAAAAAACATGCCATCTTTAAAACAGAAATCAAATCCAAGTTAGAAGTTAGAAGAACAGAATTCAGCTAGGGAACATTTGCTCAAAGGGATATCCATGGTGGGGCCTTATGAGAGATTCAGTTGTAGTAACCTTTATCAAAGTAGTTTCTGGAGAATTTGAGAACCAACATTCGCCGGGAGGGGGGCGTGTAGCGCACTGGTCAAAGGCGCCCTACAACACATACGTTATCGACCCCACCGCCCCAGGACCACCACGCCCTCTATTCCCCCAGCATCGGTTAATTCGTACCAGAATTCCCTGAGAGAATAACAGCAGTGGCTCGATACGACGGTGGGCCACCATGAGTCATTGTAAAGGCCAGATATGTATTCGGTCACCTCCAACGATGCTTAATGAAGTCAAATGCATGGCACATCCTTCAGGGATAGATTGAGGCCGAAAGCTTTATCGTTTGTCCTTTTTATGAGTGAAGTAGAACAAAATAGGCCTAAGGACACGATATCCCGAATTCAACTGGTTCTCAAAGAATGTTAATGGTTGCTTTGTGTCTCCAATCACTTCTCGTTGGAACTCGCTGTTCACTCGCAATTCCGAAAGGTCTCTTCTCAACGCTGGACGTGAGAGTTTCCTAGTGGACAGCGTGACGAAGAAATAAATCACAGCATAGTCAATCAGATTCTGGCTAAACGACGTCACTGTTGTCTCAAGGTTTCACACGAAATCGGACCACAGCCTCCTTCGTGCAAGATTCCTTTCGTTGCAGACAGTGGAGAAACCCGCAAAATTCAAACGACGAAATCCTCAAACCATTGCCATGTTTGATTTTTTAGGGTAATTAGTCCGCTTCTGTGAAGATGGCGTCACCGACTACAAAAATTAAAAATACAACCGGCTTATTCAACATCTTCAAGTTAGCGACAAAAAAATCCGAGGATTGAAAACACAGCAACAGTGTCTAGCTCTATTAAAACTCGACAGGGATCTTAAAGAGAAGAGATCAGCAGGAATCTTTGAAGTTCCAGAGGCTGGGAACGGTTCCCGCAGCATCCCGCTAAACTTCGCCAGTGACAAGGCTAAGATGATCATGTTCGGGTGCCGTGCCCAGACAGAAGACCCACGACTTCCAGAAAGACAGCTGAGAAGCTCAACTACTACGCGTACTCTGGTCTCTCTAGCAACCAATTCATCCCATCTCAATAATTAAGAAAGATAAACACGTAGCCCTTGAGGTCTTTCCTTCCGAAATCCAAATGATATCTCATGATTGAGGAACTATACAGCACAGTACAAGCAACTATTCCACAGTGCTCTATAAACTCTTCACTCGAGTCGTCTTCAGGAGGAATTTAAGGAGATCGGATGAAGAACACATATGTGATACACAGTGTTCCGAAGATTATTTCGTACCACAGAATATAAGCCCACGATAAATAAACCTTCTGAAGCGTCGCTCGGAAGAGCACAAGAGACTACCTCAGTTCGCCAGTTGAAAAACGCCTTCCAACCACTTGCAAGAAAGAAAATCAACGAGGCTTTTGAGAGTTATTTGGTCTCTATTCAATGTACAAATAACTTTCCCGTGCTTTGTGTCAAGGGACATTAACACTACCGTAAAGAGAAAGGTTTCAACAAGGTGATAACACATCTTCAGAATCATTTACACTTAACCTCGAAAGAGTTATGAAAAAACTGGAATGTGATGACAAGATGGAAGATCGATACCCACCAAGCACACCACTTCTGACTATCTTTGACATGCCCTGTAGTTCAACCCTAACGATGAATATGTAAGTGCGATTCCGTGCTGCTGTTCTTCAACTCTCAATTATAATAGCCTTTCTGGAACCAGCGCAAGGACTAACTACATAGTATGTCAAATCAGCATCGAAGTCAGCAAATCAGCAACTAGAAAGTCGACATGATTCTGCGTTCAAGTACGAAAGTGAAGCAATCTTAGTGCGGCACTTCATGGTTTGGACACAGTCACCAAGGACGAAAAGCATTTGATTTAGGTCGAAATAACATAAAGACTAAATAAAACGAATCTACTGGATAGTACTAACGAATAGTGAGTTGGTCGGGAAGTTCAGAGACACTTCCAACATTAGCCGAACTCTCCTTGTCGAGAATAGTAGGTAATGATACTTCACCGGAATCTTCCGCGACTTTAGACTTAACCCCTAGCCAGAGCCAAGTTTTGGGCAACGTTCATCAAAAAAGCTTTCAAATCGCTGATAAATTGATATGTAGCGAATGTGGCCATAATATAGACTGGATATAAGTTCAAAAAAATATGTCTAAATATTCAAATACTTGGATATTTAGTTCAACAAACAGTTAAAAGCTGTTGCCGACTTTTCAAAAAGTTTTCTTTGCTCAGATATAGTAGAGGAAATAATACATCTTTTACGGGTACCAAAAACTTTGCAGAAATATTGGTCTCTGTACCAGCTTAGTTCAAACATCAAAGCGAATTTCAAGAGTAAACGAACACAACTCAACAATTCCTTGAGTAAACATGACTCACGTGAAACTTTACTTTTGACCGACTCCAAGAAAGCACCAACAGAAACACCGCAATGTAAACTCCACGAATAGGAATGCAAACAAAATGTAGTTAATTTGAACAAAGGTTTAATTTATCACAAGAACGCTATACCTATGAAAGCGTATCTCAAATATTTTGGTATACAAACTCCAACGCGCGTACAGCAGGCAGCAGTCGAAGGATCATCAGCATAAAGATTCCATAAGATCATCAACAGGCTGGAGCCGTGTCCTCTTCACCTCTTGAGAAATCACAAGGCATCACTAAACAAAACAGGTATCTAAACGTTTTGTAAGCTTATACGATGCACATACCGCACAGTGCATAGATAGCAAAAGATGTACGGAACATCACATGAGAATTGTTCCTTTGGTCTGAAATAAATATATCCCCAGATTTCAGTGGCATGAGTTTAAAAAAATACCCGTCTTTTTCCATCCTTAACATTTCATTAAATAAGGCAAGGACGCGTAAAAGCGACAAACCCAAGGGTAACTACCGCAAAGACCATCTCACATATCCAAGGTGACGTAGGGAAAGACGTCGTTACCAACAGCAGTGGATGTTAAATTAACAACACTTGTGTACAAGGGAGGGAGAGAGAGGGAAAGCAAAAGACAGCGAGCGAAAGAGAAAGAGTGAGCCTAGTTTGAAACATACCGAAAATAGGGTCCGATGAAATTAGACGCAGTTCTACTTCGGCCTTTATTTCTGCTGAATCAGGTGTTCTTTTTCTCTTTAGGAGGTATCTATTGGTTTGCAAACCTACTTGGATACTTGGACGGTCCGTCTCTACGAGTTGTAGGGATCCCAGCAAATTTCCCATTTGTTCGTTTCCCTCGCAGTGGTCTGGGGTGGCTCCACTCCAGCATGATCGCGAGTAGGAATCTCATACTGCCATCTGTAAAACAACTGCTGCTGCGTGTACAGCTGATTAACTTCGGTTGCGAACTTCCAACTTTTTTCCGTCGTTCCTCACCAAAACAGGATGTTAAATTAGTAACATTCGTATTTATAAAGCACGCAATAAATGTGCAAAAGAAGCACTGGCGTACATAATGGGAACACCGTAAGGATCTGCCCAGGCTGCAGTGATGCGCACAACGACATTAACAGTAAACTGCGAGCAGGACAGAATGCAATGGCCAGACCTCTAACGTGTCGCAGATGTATTGCTACAGCGGGGAACAGCAAGCAGACCGGAGCGACGAGCGTCCCAAGGAGCGACTCAGTCCCCAGTATTCTTATTCAGAACTGAACGTCTTATACCCACTTGTTAATTCTTAATGAGAACCGAACGTCTTAGAGCCACTTGCAGATTCGTTGCAGTACCTAACACTTCAATTTCTAATTCTTGATTCTCACTCATAGCACCTCAAAAGTGCACTGATGCCTTCGTATTGCAGAACCTTTGATCAGTCGACCTGATGAAGATCCACTCTTTAAAGTCGAGCAGATACACAGCAACGACCAATTAAGTACTTTCGTGCTGTACTTATATGTTAGCACCCCACCACAGAACTACCATAAAACAGTGGCGTGTGGGGCACTTCATCGCAACATCGGTTGCAACCACTACGTGCTGTCATTGAAGCTGCATCCAACTTCCCTACTACAAACTTTCAAGCAAATTCTTAACAAAATGCTATGGATCCATATTTGCATATGCACACATACACATACATATACATATTTATGCATATACTGCATAGATGCCTAAACTCACAGAACCACAAAGCACAGGAGAATGTGTATAACGGTTCACTTCAAGAAAAAACCCACCTGTTCTTAGTCGTCAAGCTCTAGTGGCCTCTCGAACGACAGCAGAACTGACAGTAAGTGGCCTCCATATGAAATTATGCAGATCCATAAGGAACACAAGACACTAGAGGTAAATTGGTAGCCCATTTAATACGCAGATCAGAATACGATACGCCAATTGACGAGACACTGAGCCCGTAATTTACGCACATGGCACAAAGCCAAGTGTCTACTTTGTCATAGGCTGTGGAAGATCGAACATTCAGTTGGTACGAGGGGCGGAAAGAAAGAACGCGAAGGTTCTAGAGGACACCCGTCGACGTGTCTCACGGCGAGATTCCAGCTGTTGTTGTGTCGCCCGCTTGTGCTGGGTGTTTCCTTCCTTTATTTTTACAGCTTCTTTCTAAAATGATGTTTTCCGTTCACATTGTTGTAGTTTGGAAGCAATCGAGGCCGTGTCGAATGCGTACCACTCGTATTTCTGCCCTTCTGTCTTCTCTTCCACTCATTTCGATGGCTTCTATGTTGTTTTTGTTTGTCTTAGGTGTCACCAGCATACGAGAATGGCCAAAGACTACTATAAAATCCTTGGTGTTGCGAAGGGGGCCAGCGATGATGAGATCAAAAAGGCTTACCGAAAAATGGCTTTGAAGTACCATCCCGATAAGAATAAGGAGCCTGGAGCAGAAAACAGGTTTAAGGTTAGTTAAGTTCGCGCTTAAAATGAGTGTTTAAACTTCTTTGGTTATTTGTGAGAGGAACTGAATAAATTCGACAAATGCGTTTATTTTACGAGTTTGTTTTTCATCCCACCTGTCGTTTTTCAAGAACTTTTCCTGTGGATTTATTTTTTTGATGGTGTTCTTCGTTTCCCTCCCAATGGTTTACCGCGTCATCGTAGCCGGTAGGTGTTCCTGGGTGTCGGACTGCGGTGGGATTCGTACCCCCGGCAGGGTCTCCCAAGCTGAGTCCGGCGTTTCCATCAGGAAGCCTAGCTAAAAGTAAACCAATACCAGGATCCACCACCGTCCTGGTACCAAAGTCGCATGGTGGCAAATCTCCCTCTGATCCACAAGAGCTGCGGTTGCCTGTGGTGCTGAAGGCCTGAGGCAGACTTTGGCCATGCTGACCTCTGGATTCCAGGGAACCACAATAGCTTAACCAGAAAATCTCTGAAAAGTGGTGATTATGCTGGAGCCCGCACAAACACTGAGGGCGGGCCATTCAAGTATCAAGTACCAAGTAATATCTTCGTTCCACGTTAGTTGTACCTTCCAAAAGCTTAATGTACAACCATTTAGAATCTACAAACTACTTGACCTCGCGTAAGCTCAGCAATTTAAATACACGTTAATCTCCAACGTTTTTGAGTTCACCGTAGTGAAGGTGTATTGCTTTGTAGCATAACATTTGTTATTACCCTATTAGATAGGAACTTTGTATGTCGTAAATCGCACCATTCGTTTGTTTATAGCTGAAATTATTCTTTCAAATATTAGTTCATTTCCGAACATTCGTAAGTTTCACGTCTCATGAAAAGAATGATTTCACTGCACAGGAGTTCGAGTTCTACTCTAGTGTTTTGGGCCAGAATATTTCTCAATCGTATCGAGATCAGAAGTTGTCTGGTCTCGTGCCCCGTCTTAGTCCTCGTTACGACCAACGATCCATTTAAATTTTGGATCGGAATCTGGTTCGAGTTTGCTCAGTAGTGGATAGCTTTCCGAGTGATGGATACGTATGTGTGTAGTTCTTTGGCGGACAACGTTGGACGTGCTGATTTCGATGCAAAGATGATTGCTACTTCTTAGCTCAAACCAGTATGGCTCGGCCGCAGTTCTATGCCGGACAACACCGGACGTGTACAGTTTTTGATGCGAAAATAATTGCCACTTTTAGTTCAAACTAGTATATCTCAGCCTCCGTTTTTTGGCGAACATCGCCGGACCTACACAGATTTCGATACGAAGATGATTGCCACTTCCTAGTCCAAACCAGTTTATCTCAACCTCTGGTGAGCTTTGTTAATCGAAATAGTAGACGTATTCTGCCTATCTCTTCAGACAATATAGAACTTTTCTGCTCTACCCGGATGGAAACCTGATTTTCTGGCGAATACAATCCATTCATCTTACATTTTCTTTCTGACGCACAGCTTCAGAAATTAGTGCAATTGGATAAGCGGAATTTCATCCAGCAAGCAATCATGACTTTTCGGATTTATCATTAAAATTTGGTCAGTGTGTGCGTCGAAAATTCCGAAGATCTGAATTTCTCAGTCAGCTCTTTGAAATTTTTAATTCTAAACAGATTTGGAATCCGAGGGAGGTTTTTCGAAAGTCACGCATATCCATAGAGCGATCCTTTCTATAAATTTAGGAACTTGTCCCCAGATACCTGTTATTGAGAATTTGCTGTCTGTTGTTCTAGAACTAATATCCAGCGTTACATAAGGGATGTGAACAAACATTGTTGAATATCGTCACCTTTTATTTACTGTCTGTTCTTTTTTAATGCCTGGGTATTGTGTGAGGTACAACCATAATGGTGCTCGAAGGAAGGACTCGCATGGTGTGGCGGTGAACGCGTTAGCCCCCGGAAAGGGTAATGTCGTGTTTGATCCCCACCGCATACACAGTGGTCCGGAGTTTTGCAAATATCTCAGCATCATTATGGTTATATTTCACATTGTTGAATAGCTTTTAGAATATCATTATCTATATGAAGTTGCTGTTTATTTTATTTTCTATTCTCGGCTATGTTACTTGAAGGAGCAGATCCATAAAATAGAGGCTAACCGTCTCCATACTAGCTTATGACTTCTTCACTACTGGCATACATGATGAAAAGCTTCTTTCTTTTTGCCACATGATCACCATGCATGACACTTTTGAGAAAAATATCCCATTAGAAGCTTATCAGCGGTTTTCGTTTTCGTCGCATTCTTTGCTGGTCATTTTTCGTCGCTTCTGTAAGTTGCATCAGTTGACCATGCCTTTGATCTTTATAACGTGAGAGCGACCACTTTGTCGTTTTTCAAGCGATTTCATCCAGAGATTCTACGCTGAGCGAGGAGTTTTGGCATAAACCCTGTGGGGGAAGGCGTGAAAGCATATCGGACACTAGATCTTGTAGTGGTGATTTCTCTCCGTGCATTTTCATCGCCCTTTTGATGGATCGCCTATATTACCTAATGTTTCATTGATCTCAGGAATACTGCAGTGGACAACATTGGAATCTCGACTGGTCTCTCACGCAGTATAATTGCTCAAATTGTTTTCCTTGAGCGAATGGCATAGAGAACGCCACTAGTGTTCACATATCTCCTTCAATTTTGCGTGTTCTGGTGAGATGTTGGGGTGAATCGTAGGTTCCACATACGTTTACTCTTAGCTGGTTGTCTACGTTGAAGTGGACTGTTCATCTTGCTTTGACTTAGTTGGGTTTGAACTATTTCTCAATATGGCAGTTCTGCATTCATGATGACATTCAGGACACGATGAGGCGGTAGACCGTTATGGGTAATACACTAGAGGTTGAACTATTGGCTAATCCTTTTGGACGAACAGTGAATTTATCGTCGGTGTTCTTACACAACCGTAACAAAATTAGTCAGGGAGCGCATAATTTCTTTTGAAAGAGGTTAACTAATAGTTTATAGTTGGGAAAGTACTTGAGTATTTCTGCAAATCTGTTGGATTTGTACATCGTTGGATGGTAATTATGAATGGAAGCAGCGTTTGTCTACCACTTGACAATTTACCTGTGGATCACAGACCTTTCACATAGTTCTTTCTCTGATTCATCGTAAACGTAGTGGTCGTATATTGCGGGAGCACGTGTCGCATGGTATCCTCTCGTTTCGCAGAAGCAATTTTAATTTCACTATATAGTTTCATGCAAGAGATTTGCGCTGCTTATCACAGCCATAGTTTGAAATTTGCGCTTTTTTTTCATATGAGCGATTGTTGACGCTGTAACGGTGAAAAAAACACTTTAGGAAATCGCTGAGGCATACGATGTGCTTTCTGATCCAAAGAAAAAAGAAATATATGATAAGTATGGCGAAGATGGCCTGAAGAATGGTGGACCTGATGTTGGAGGTCCAGGAGGATTCCATTACGAGGTTTGTAAAGTGTTTCGGTCCTGCTGTTATTACTTTGCTAAGGACTGGTTAATCATTTGATGTGTAATTTCTTTTAGTTCCAAGGCGATCCTATGCGCATGTTCGCGCAATTTTTTGGAACCGATGATCCATTCAGTAGTATATTTGGAATGGGTGGCCACGGTGGAAACATGTTTTTCAATATCGGAGGTAATGGCATGGATGAAACACTAAATGGCTTCTCTGCATTTGGTGGTGCTCCACATGGACATCGAAGAAGTCAGGATTTAGTTATTCACATAGTGTGAAAATTTAGTATCTCCTACGTCCCATACTAATGTTAAGCGACGCACACTGATGTTTTCAGCTGCTCCTAAGCAAGATCCTACAGTGCAACACGAGCTTCAAGTCAGCTTAGAAGATATTTATAGGGGATGTACAAAGAAGATGAAAATAACAAGGTGTGTGAGTTAAAGCTCTTATTGGTTTTTAAATTGATTTCTATGCTAGCAGCGTTAAATTTTACAATGCATATTGGAAGAATTTGTTGCCTCACGTAGTAGTACGTGATAGAGATTTTTTCACAGATGTGAAACAAATGTCATCGCTGTGTTATGTATGCATGACACAATAACGCATGCACTGTAACCTTTGCACAAATCGGATTTTAACATTATTCCTTAGCACTTCTTCAGCTTTTATGTTCGTCCTACTGTACAGCTCCGAATTAGTAAGTCTATGGAAATGTAGCACAGTAATCGTGTGCTTCACAGCAAATTGGAGCTTTCCTAATGAAGCGAAAAACGGTTATGGTCATAAGAGTTCGGCAGCATTGAAACGGGAATCACCTTTTAGCGACCGTCAAGCGAAGAGTGGTTCCATCGTACGCGAGAACTCTGCCTGTTATCTTATTTGCGAAAATACGGCTTTTCCGTTGATACCATCCGCGTACGAGAAGGGATCCGACAACGCGGTGCTGTGTCGAAAGCTATTCATAACTGTATGGTAGTGGACAATGAGGAAGGACAAGGTTAAGAGAGAACACATATTTTCGGAGAATTCCTATGGCATCTTCGATTTGCCGACCGCGATATCTTTTTGGAAAATCGAAGAGATGCGCATACTGGAACAAATTCGGGATCTTCGAAAACCCATGGTGCGTTGCTAAACCAATCGAAATAGATTTTCTTTTTACAGCGTCAAGCGTGTATCAGAAATGTTCAGACACCATGGAGAATGTCTTTGTCGAGAAATTCTTCAGTTGAAGGGGTCAAGCGTGGGATGTGTGGGGGCTTTATTGAAGCTGCCAGTAATTTGGCACAGCTGAAACTTCGTCTTGAATAGAATTTTTTTCGTTCAACGATACTCTCATTGATCTACTGCAGGAAAGGCATGGGTTAATATTTCAACCACATAGAGAGTTTTTCACAACGACTCGACAGTCGTAAGGTGCGTCGAGTGAAAAAGTGGGAGCGGTGCTTCGAGTCCATCACTTTATTTAAGCATGGTTTCTTCAAGAAACCTGAAAACGATCAATATTACCGTGGAACAAGCGGTCGGTGTAGATACGGTATGACCTGCACTGGGAGAAGTGTCCATTTCAATTTGTTTCTTCTTGTATCGTGGTTAATGACTTGGTTATTTTCTGAATTGGTCCTAGTTTTTTAACATTTATATGCTTCGTTGAGCTCCCTACTCTTTCTTGGCGGAAATTTTTTGAACAGACGACTACAAGTACGTAAAAATTTGATGGGAATTCCCATTAATCTGTATATATATATTTTTTTCTCAATCGAAAATCTTTTTAAGTTCTGCAGTGAAGCAGCAGTGAGTAGTTCTAAACAGATCAAGTTTGACCTTCTGGACCCATTTCCTATGAATACTGTAGGTGGGCGGTAGAAAAGCTTAATTTCCGTGAAAGATCTGTCACAGTTGAGACAGATTGTTACTTTATCCCCCATGGAATTTTTTACAGAAATCGCGAAGCGCATGAAAGTCGGTTCAAATATGAAGAGTGGCATACTTGACATCGCTGAACTTCGAAGTTTAGATCCTCGAAAATTTCCTTAGCTTAGAAATCTATTCCAAAAAGGGAGTATACATGGAGCGGTCAGTGAGTGGAATAGTTGGCGACCGTTATGCGAAGAGTACCTGGCGGACAGTATATTAAACTGTATGGGAAAGAGCGTCCTCTTAGATCAGATCAGACCACCTTAAAAAAGACAGCCGTGTTTGTGGCCGCCAACATCTATTTGTTGGACACGAGACTGGTCACCACCATGGACGAAACTCAGCACGAGGCGTTTTCAGCTCCCTCGCTCTTTTGGGTATCTTGACAAAATTGTGTCCTTTTACGGGAACAAAGATTCACAAGGTGTTTTGTGACTTGCAACCTACCAACTAATTTTAAGAGAAGCTACCACGAAATAACTCTGTTCCATCATTGGCTTTTTGAATATTTTAATTAAAGAGATAAGGTATTTGCTTCGAAATTCGACACATAGAGCTTGTAGGTTTCATACGCAAGAATATGTGAAGAATTGTTTCAGGAAAATCTTAAATGCAGATGGTCATTCAACCCGTGTGGAGGATAAAGTTTTGACAATTAACGTCAAACCAGGATGGAAAAGTGGAACAAAAATCACATTTCCGAAGGAAGGTGATCAGCATCCTGGACGGGTCCCTGCTGACATTGTCTTTGTCATCAAGGTAGTGTAATTTTCCTCCACTTTTTTAGATAACCAGTGTCCATAATATGTCGTTAAGATAGCATCAGTTTTCTACTTGGTTTCGTTTTTCCGTACCCATATTCCACGAAGGTCTTCTGATCCGCTCAGTCACTGCTTTGGAATATTTGTAGATTCTTTATGAATGTCGATTATCTATATACGATAGTCTATCCCTGATAGGATAATCAAACGTACTAGATGTTGTGGATAGTAGGGAATTTCACTTACAAGTCAAGTACCAATTCTACAACCTCAGAAATGCGAGACTCTGCCCTCCTAGGAACGGGTCGAATACTATGGAAGATGTAGCATGCAAGTAAAATGGCAAATTTGGGTGAAATAACAATGTGCCGCATATGCGAATGTGTTGATATTGTCGTTTAAGTTCGTTTTTATGGTGTTGATCGCTTAATATTTACCATCGCTTATTGTTTAGAAATAGTACCATGTGTGCTGTAGCTGTTTCCCTCTACGGTTCCATACGTCATAAATTTCTTGGGGAAAACTTTTTGAAATGTTTGGTCTCTTTTCTGTCCATAATTACATGTAATTTAGGACAAACCACACAAAATCTTCAAACGTGAGGCATGCGATCTTCGATATATCCATCGAGTTGCATTGCGTGATGCTCTATGTGGCTGCACTGTTGAGATCCCAACTCTTCTAGGAACCACTACGTCATTGAGGCTCGATATCATCAAGCCAAATACAGTAAGAAGGTCCGTTAGCTTAGACTTTAGAAACAAGTAGTATTTATGTTAATTGACAAAGTCATTTGTTGCTTTTCAGGATTACCGGAAAAGGTTTGCCTAACCCGAAAGCTCCCGGTCATTTCGGTGACTTGATTGTACAGTTCGAAATAGAGTTTCCCTCAAAACCAATTACCGATCCAGTTTTGCGCGAACAGTTAATGAGAATTTTACCACCTCTGTCCCATGCATGATCACGTATTTTCCGAATATGATATTTGGTTTCTTTACGGCCTTCCTCCTGACGCCTAATAAATTAATTTCTCACTGTATTATTACTTGTGTTTGCTTTTTAAACTAGATAGACTTTATCCTATACAGCTCTACCACTCGTACATGTGAATGATAGGAGTACTCGACAATTTTGTTTATTCGTCGGAGATCGTCTGCTTTGCAGGTCATGTTGCAAGTATAGGCTTAGGTCGTTGCTATCATTCCTGCCATGTAATATATTCGTCCTCATCACCATGTTTGTTTGTTAGAGTATTCCATGTAAGGTTTGACTGATTAGCATTCGTCACCTAACTTTCTGAGGTAGATTTATTTTCGTTGCATATTTGTATGGAGGTGCACGTTCATCAGTTTCTTTGGCTAGTCATTGTTGAGGTTGAATGTCTTGAAACCATAAATCATTTTTTGGACGACGTACGTTTAAATCTGCGCACGTTAGCAGCCGTCTTATCTTAACAATGAAAAGATTTCCGAATACAGGCTTGGTTCTCGAAAGTTAGCGAAGTTTCCCTGGGGCTTAACCCATTCACCACCGTATGGATACGGTAGTGTCCATAACCGTTTGGACCAAAGGACGATATGGACCATGTAGTGTCCACATCCAATCTAGTGGATTCTAGGGTTCTTTTTTCTGCCGCACTGACGGCGCTTCCAAAAATACCCTAAGGAGGTGGAATCATCGAGAGGAGTTTATCTGTGTTACTTAGTAATAAGTATATAGTTGATATCATCAAAACTGCAGTGTTTAGGGGTCGCTGTTTGGAAATAGTTCTCAATCCTTACTCTCATAGATGTTTTTGAAAATGGTGATATGAAGCTGTCATATTACCATCTAAAACTTTAACAACTTATCAGCTTATGTCTTCAGAAGAATCGGTGGGTTTGGTCGGGATGAACGAGATCGGATTAAACAGCATACCAACGGTGCGAGGATAAACCTCACATTTTTCGATCAAAACCGAGTGTTCCTTGTGTTAATGTGAGTACGGCATGGTTGTTGTCCGCTTCTTCTGTCTAGTGAGCAGATAATATTGAGATATTTGCTAATTCGGCGTAGTGACCCTTCCTGGAAGGATTCAGGGAGCTCTCTTCATTTGTTCCATCTCGCAGCCACAAAAGTGGTTCAATTGCTGCAACGAGTTGGATTTCAGCTCATGGAGTGTTCTATCCTCACTGACATACTGAAACAATTTCTTACTGAACGCAATTTTCCCTCGAATGACGACATAACACTACTGCTGCATTCTCAGGTGATCGCCACAGTAGCTGGCTCCTATGGATCAGTTTCCCGTTGAAAAACCAGTGGAGGGATTTAACCCACTAGTCACCGTATGCATTGTGTTATCCACTGGAATACGGCAGAAGAATATATGAAGCCTCAAAAAAATCCGAGGAGTATAAGAGCATTTATTTTATTGACTACAACATATACCATATAATCGCTCCTCATACGATCAACAGTGGTCAATGAATAATCGGAAAACAACATTAACTGAGTAATACTTCTGTCACGAAGGAGTTGATCGAGATTGCTGGTAGTCTGAGTAGATCTCCGCTTCACGTAGATAAAAAACTATGGAGAAGAAAGGTTCGTAAGAACTATTGAAAGCAAAGATTTAAACACTTACTAGTTCTCTTGACAGCAACATGTTACATTGTCCTCATCTGTCTCCATCTTCTTCATAACATTCTGAGGTATAGATTGATGTAAAGCGATACTGAATTCTAGAAATTTTAATCGTTAAAAGGGAGCAATACAAACAAGAAAGGAGAAATGCAGAAAAACTACTTGGACCAATGTTGGCACTATAAGACAGTTTAAGGATGCAATTGTTGAACATATCACAGATTAAGAACGAAAATGCTAGAAAAGTAACAACAAACCTTAAAGAAATACAAAGAGAATGAAAGCGGAATAACAAAACAACCTACGTTTTCGCTCTAAAGGGTGGCGGGATCTACAGCATGTGGAATTTTGGCGGATGTTTCACTAGAAATAGAAAAAATATAGAGCATTTAGACACATGAGTGTACAAAAAAGCACTAAGTGGTAGCGGAAACTTATCACCTGTATCAACTATAATCCCGTTGATCGTCGAGTGACTCAAGCGGGTGCCACTAAACTTTCCATTTTTCCTTATCGCGCGCAAGAGTAGCCCAGTGGGTTCTGCTCGCTCTAGAGACTCGTCGAGCATCATATCTGTCTTCAAGGCTCTTTGTGAAGAACTCTGACCATTGGGTCGGCGGTCTTCCTGCAGTACGTTTGACATCCCGGGGAATTCAGTCACTAACGGCTCATGTCCATCGGTTGTCATTCATACGCATTACGTGTCCTGCCCACCTTATCTTCGACTGTTTGGCGTACAGAACAGCATCTTTGATTTTTGATCGTTGACGCAGATCGGAGCTTCGGATCCCATCCCTTGTGTGAAACGGGATGCTCCTAGCATCGTCCTTTCGATTATGCGCTCGATAACGCTGAGTAACTTTTCATCCTGCTTACGCAGCGACCAGGTTTCTGACGCATACGTTAGGGCTGGAAGTACCGTTGAGTCACGGGGAGCGGAAACTTATAAAAGGATAAAACGATAGAGATCTCGGCGTTGATCAATTCCTTAGGGATTCACCATACATTTGACTTCATTGAGCATCGTTTGGAGATAACTGGATGGAAATCTGGTCTTTACAATCGCGGTGGCCTTCCGATGTATCGAGCCAGTGCTGCTATTCTCCCAGAAAATCCTGGTACCAATTTGCCGACCATAGAAGGATGGAAGGCTTGGTGGGCCAGAGGCGCGGGAATTGATCCCAAGTGTATTGCAGGGCGCTTCCGACCACTGCGCCACACGCGCCTTCTCGGAAACAGTACACAATAAAAACAATGGAACAAAGTCTAACTGTAACGATATACAACGTATAGTAGACGTACACTTGGATATTTGGATGACCTGTTTTCAGTGATGGTGAGAGTCCAAGCACAGTTACCATTCTCTTCTCTCCTGCGCACTCGTCGTCCATGATGGTGGTCGGCTTCGAACATGGTGACGTCTGCGAGGCCCATTCCGAATTCCTGAACGCTGTCGACGTGTATTCTCCTGGAACCCGAGAATGGGATAGTTCTCAAGGATTAGAACTCTAGAAAATGAAACGATAAAACAAAGTCTAACAGCAAAGTAACTGAATTATAAAAGTATGCTATGTCCTCAAACCTTCAAATTTTCACCCAATCAGAAAGGTATTGGGAGCTGCAGAAAAATAGTATAGCACATTCCGTCAGGAAAAGAAACTACATGGTCCATAACGTGAGGCTTAGGATGTTCGATCCTCCATCAACAACCTATCGCTACTCGACTTTGTGTCAATGCAATGAGTCGTTGATGGCGTATGGAGTTCATGAATGTATAGAAAAAAAGAAGCACTAAGGAAATTACGAAACAAACTCGACTTGACAGAGAAAATGATACCAAGTGCTGAGAGCAATACGGTTACGCGGTTGACAACCACAACTCCTAGCAAGTACTACACGTGTAGATGAAGTAGAGCAAACTCATTTCGTTAGAAAGAACTGTTAATCTTAAAGCCCCTAAAATCCCTCAGTTAATTAAAGATGATAACGCACCACCGAGAACTAGCGTGTTGGTGATCACAACGGGTGCGGACGAGTTTTGCTGTTTTGTGCAGCCGCCAAAGCATTTCTGAGCGGACTCGCGACGAAGTCCTGGGATGGAGATGCTTTGTGGTCCCCACGGAGTTAGGGCGGATTCTGAGTACTGCAGGGTCAGCGTTGTTGGTAGAGGTTTCTACTTCGTAATGCGTTTTCATTCAACGAATAACGCGGGCTATCATTATCTGGCAAATGACTGCTAGAACGCACTTTCGAGGGGGGAGGGGTTACGCACTGAACTCGATCTTGCTCCGGTTCCAAAAATGTGGTTATATTCGCCTTCGCTACTAGAAATCTTGCAAGTAAGGGTGTTGAGGGTGTTTATATTCCCATCTACTGTCACAATTTTATCAGTCCAGTTCTATGCGTTGGTGGTAGAGCAAGAGCAATCCCGGAAACTTCTGCTGTTTCTCAACGTCGAATGTTCCCTAACCATTTCTTTGCACAGTACTGATGGTTTCTTAGGATTCAACAGCTATTTTGATGTCTTGATTTCGTCGTATGGGAGTCTCTACGGTTTCCATGTGATTTCAATTCAGATTTGGACATATTTCACATCTTCTGTCCAGTGCTTGTCAACCGTAATGCTTCCATTATAGGATGTTATCGACAATAAGGACTGGATTCCTTAGGGCAGCACTTTCTGAGGCTGCAGTAGTACGGAGTGAGTGCTATAGTTTATACCTTTTCATTGCGTAGGGATTTGTTTTGTATGTTTTTTCAATGAGTCCTCTTCATCCATTACCTTCTGAAATAACTTCATGTGCTCATGTTGGCCGTGTACTTCAGGTAGTTCGTTCAATTTTCGGGATCCATTCGACATTTCATCGCAACTGACTGAGGTTCGTTGGATTATAGGGTTACTTTCTGTGGTCTACGTGCTTTTTCCCAACTTCTGTTGTTTTTTTGTAGCCTTGTCTCTTCATTTTTTAAAAATAAGGTATTAAATTTGGTTTCTTGTTTCAGTTGATTTGTTGGAAGTTTTCAGGATGAAAAAGATCTTATGGAATCAGCCCGTACATATTGTCAGGAAAAACTTTTGCCGCGGATTACTAAGGCGTATAGGGATGAAAGTACGGGTTTTCCAGAACAATTTTATTTTGAGAGCACACATATATGTATTACTGTATCTTACTATTCATTCTTTCAGTATATGATCCTACTTTGATCCTTGAAATGGGTAAAATGGGACTTCTAGGCGCTCCGTATAAGGTTTTACTTTCAAGAAATCAGTCTCCTTATTTTTCCTTCATTTTAGTTTTTCCATCTAACGTAGATGGAATACAATGCTTCAGGGATATGGATGTGCTGGAACATCTACGGTTGGATACGGTCTTATAGCACGGGAAGTTGAGCGGGTAGATTCCGGTTATAGATCGACCATGAGCGTTCAAACCAGTTTGGTCATTGGACCAATTTATAACTATGGTGAGTCCTCTAAAAGGCTATGTGGTAGTTAAGGTTGTCGAAGGGACATATACATTTGTACACTTGTGATATATGCATAACTCCCAACGGTTTACCTCTTCGTCATGACTGAGAGGTGTTCCTGGGTGTCGGACTGCGATGTACAGCGGAGATTCATCCACTGGCAAGGTCTCCCAGGCTGAGAAGGAGTCCGGCGTTTCCATCAGGAAGTCTAGCTAAGAGTAAACCAACACCAGGATCCAATATATAATATACAGAGTAAACCAATATAAGGATCTATCACCGTCCTGGTATCAAATTAGTCGCATGGTGGCAAAGCACCCTCTGATCCACAAGGGCTGCGACTGCCTGCCGTGGTGACGACCTGGGGCAGATTTTGGTCTGACTGATCTCGGGATTCCAGGGAACCACGATGGCTAAACCAGCAAAACTCCGAAAAAATGGAGATTATTCTGGAGCCTCGCACAACCAATGAGGACGGGCCATCCAAGTAAGGTACATACATATGTAAGTATAAATACATAGTGTGCAAAGCATACGTAGTCATTGGTTTGACTTCTTAAGCCGCCTGTTTATCCACGGTGCGCATGTTGCTCCCAAACTTGCTAGGAGATGAAGATACTAAGGTATTATATTGGTAGGCCCTACTAGAAAGTCATTATATGTGCCAAATGTGTATTGAAGTTCTCGTACGACGCTTATTAGTTCCAAATGTATGACTTATCTCTGAGGGATTGACCAACGTCGACATTGATAAAGAAATCGAAATCCTCAGGTAGTAGCCAGAACAACATACGGAATGATCGAAGACCTTTGGAGACGATGAATACGAGGAAACGAATCGAATGCAAGAAGCGCGGTCATGAAAAATAAATATATGTCATTCGAGCACTAATAGTCTCTTTTGGTTCTCACTCCCGTCGGGTAACGGGTGTTTGTGGTTAGCGTATGTTGAAAAGTTATATTTATCTAGATACATGTGTGTCATATTTTTTACATAGACCTGGTATTCCTTCAGGAACTGAGGAACAGAAACAGAAATATATACCAGGGTTAGCAAATGGAGAACTCGTTGGCTGTTTCGGCCTGACAGAACCGAACCATGGATCAAATCCAGTTGGCATGGAGACAAAAGCTAGGTATCTTATATGGGTTTTTCAATAACAAGAGCGTAGAATAGTTTTAATGCCAATAAGTAGTAGAATTAGATGTCTTCTACTAGGTGGTGAGTGTACTAGCAGTCACAGCAATGCCAATTTCGAGAATATGAAGGTTTTTGTGATGCACTTGAACTTCACTAACTTCACTAAAGTAGGTGACGCAAGCATGAAGAAGCAACTATAAACCTTTGATTAGGTGGCTTACTGTTTCACAGAACTTTTCAACCAGCGAGATAGGGCTTCGCAAAGAAGACTCCTACTTATATGCTTAAGATATAAGCGACGACATCAGTCATGCATGATTCGTGCATACTCGAAAATAATTAAAGTTTTTAAATTCAAGCAGTGGTATCTGAGCTCTCAGAAAACTTTGCTAATTGAAATAACTACCATTAGGTTTCATAGATTTTGCTAACAATGGACAGCTTTTCTCACTTGAGGACGTTGAAATTCTGATGTTTTATTCAATTGTATGGTCCGTCGTCACGAGTAGCTCTTCTAGAAGTTCTTCACGAGTCCTCGCTTTTGGTGGTGATGTGGACTCGGACAGTATTGGACCTGAAGAAACGAATCAAATGCTAGAATTGCTGAAATTAGCACAATGTAAACACATCTTTAAAAAAATCCCATATCGTGGCGAAATATGGAAGCGTCCTCATCATCGTTCATCATTGCTGGGAGTAGCTCATTACAGTCGCACAGGTTCTAACAGCATCTCTTCAGACCAGTTCGTTATTGAGTTACTTTTTGAGTTCAACCGCTTTTTCCGTCCTTACCAATGTAAGTTCTGTGAAGATCTACATTTACTACCTATCATAGGGGGAACATGTAACGCAGTAACTAGACCCCTGCAACACACGTGTTCATTGGTTCGAGCCTGCATCTTAGGCCCATCTAGCATTCCATTCATCCAAGGTAGGCAATTTTTTACCAGACTTGTCTGAAAGGATAGCAGTACTGATTTGGTATATCGTTGGGCCACTGCAAGTCATTGTGGGGCGAGTTCGACGCAAGTTTTATATCCTTCGATAAACAGCTCGTTGTCTTCCGTCAAGTTTTCCCTACTTCGCAGGTCTTATGATAAGTAGATTTCGTTTGAAGTGTTTTGTCATAAACGACTTTTCCTTCTATAGTTGTTCGATGGCACAAGTTTTCTTCCAGCTTGTAGCTGAGCTGAATCTTCGTAGAAAGAAGGCGATGATCAGATGCACTAAGAAATACTGGCACCGCGGAGGTGTTAAAGAGGAACCATCTTCATGTTCGTGAATCGATTTCCACATGAGTCGTGCCGTTATAAGATTCTCATGTCCAGCTGCGATATCTTTCCTCGAGAAGTGAATATCCATGGAACAGACGTGCAGTGGACAGAAGTCCAGAATAACGGTTTCCATCCTCATTCGAATTTTCTATTCCTTATTTTCCTATACTGCATCAGTTCTCTGTCGCGCTACCTGTCTTGGCGTTGAAGTCTCCAGTAAAAATTTCGTAAAGGAACTTTTAGTTGTGGATTGCTTCATCCTATTTGATGTAGAATGCGTCCTATTCGCTTTAACAATCTGCACAGGCCGGTGAACAACAGTTGGTGATACTGATCTTTTGATGCAGAGGTTGGAGACGAAGGTAATGCTATAATAATAAAAGTGATAATAGAATCGCTTACGAGGTGACCTGGAAGGAAGTAGATGGGTGTGCGACAAAACCAATGTCACGGACAATTATTTACGGAGTTTACCCTCAAAAAATGAAGAGGGTCTCGTCTTTTCATTGGCGGCTGTCGGTCTTCCTGATTTTGTCTCCTCTAAGGCGATCAAAGCTCTGGATCAACCACGGATTTCCCTCATGCGATGGATCTCGAGTCGGTTAGTCGCGAGGCTACGTGGCACCTCCCCAGGTGGCCGATAAGGGGTAAATACCGGACCAAAAGCGACCTTTCATTCCCTGAGATGCCCTGAGGTGCAGGTGGATCTAGTGGATGGACTCCCTGTTCCTGCTGCGCCGATTTGGCACATACCTTCTGTGCTTGCTAGGGTTATTTATGCGTGCGTGTGTCGGTGCGTTCTCGCTTATGCGGATTGTATTCTACGAGTTGATACGGTCAAAAGTCTGCAGTCAAGTTACAAGGAAGCATATGGGAGGCGGTTAGGAGTCGCCTCCAACAAATAACTTCCATGTCCACTCTGAGAGAGCCTGGCAAGCTACCCGTGAGTGTACCCAACCTCCACGTTCAGAGCCCAGCAAGCTATATGTGGGAACCAAAAAGTTAAAACATTTTAAAAAACGGGCCTCATTTCCCTGACCGCGAAAGAGCCCCCAATTTCGCAGCGTTGGGTAGGACGAGTACGGAGAGGCTGTTAAAATCTCAAGGCCAATGGAAGCTGCGTGTATTACAAAGAACTATGGTGACGATCTGTACCTACAATGCACGGACACTTGCATTTGAGCCGTCGATAGAGGACTTGCTCATGCAAGCAAGAAGGATTAGGTACGACTTCATCGGCCTGGCTGAGCCGAGACGACGCCACCCATTCAACGACGCCTGTGACACCGGAAAAGAACTGTTCTTCGGAGCATGCGACAGTAGAGGAGTCGGCACCGTCGGAGTTTTCGTCAATACGAGTTTGTCCATGAACGTTGATTCATTCGAACAGCTTCAACCCGAATCGGACGTTTACGATTAAAAAAAATGTGGATCAATACCGGCTTTGACAATCTTCGTCGTTTACGTGCCGCATCAAACTATGACAAAGAAGAAGTCTAAGCGTTCTATATGGACTTGGAGAAGTTCTGCAGAGAAGGCCATACATTCTTCAAGGTATCAAGGTAATCATTGGAGACTTCAACGCCAAGATTGGACTAAGAAGAATGTATGAAGAACGTCACATTGGGACCCACGGATTAGAATGGAACGAACAGGGTGAGCGACTTTCTGAGTTTATCATGGCGTCTGAGGCCATCCATGGTAACTCGCAATTCCAGAAGCCCGACCCTCAACGCTGGATGTGGGAGTCTCCCAATGGAGAGTACCATAACGAAATAGACCACAATATTGTAAATAGGTTTTGCCTAACCGATGTCGCTGTTGTCCCAAAATTCTACAGTGGATCAGACCACCGCCTCCTTCATGCAAGATTCTGTTTTTCGCGGAAAGGAGAAAAAGCGTTAAATTTAAAAACCGAAGTCCCATAACCACCGTAAACTGGGACTGATTCAATCAGTCGGCTGTTCAGAAGATGCCGTTGTCGATAACATCGACAAAGAATAGGATCGGTATTTTCAACATCTTCACGTTAGCACTATGAAAGCTGAGAGTTCTAAAGTCTCCAAGAGACGTCTGTCTCCAGAAACACTCGAGCCGATACGCCAGCATGAAATCGCACGAGCTATCTACGAGCAGGTAATCGCGAACTAACGTCCAAACGTGCAAAATAGCAGACAGGCGATTAAAAAAAGATCTTAAAGAGAGAAGAACAGCAGTAATGGTCGAAGCTGCATTGGCTGGAAAAAGCACTCGCATAGCTCACCGAAGCTTCATCAATTACAAGACCAAGATGGTGTGCACTCCGACGCCCAGACAGAACAGTCACAGCGTCCAGAAAGACTATCCTCCAGAGAGGAAATTTTTCACGAATAATGCTCAGACCTCTTCGATACCCACGGCGACCTTCCGTCATATGAAATAAAGGAGGATGAATATATTGTACCAACGGTTCTCCTTCCGAAATCTGACATGCTATTTCGTCGGTGAAAAATCGAACAGCATCAGGACCGGGCAGGATAAGACCAGAACACCTGAAGAACCTTCCTCCCAGTCCTCGTAAACACACTGACTAGACTCTTCACGCGTTACCTCTCTGAATGCAAGACCTTTACTCAGTCGAAGATCAGCTAGACTTTTTTATTGTTCAACAAGGGTGAGTTACGTGAAATCAGCAACTATCGCCCAATCTCCTTGCTGTCTGTCGTCTACAAACTTTTCATTCGAGTCATTCTAAAAAGAATTGATAAAACATTGGACGATGAGCAGCCATTTGAGAAAGCACAGTTTCGAAAAGGATTTAGTGCGATAGACCACATCCACGCGATAAGAAGACTCAATGAAGTATCGCTAGAGTATAAAAGACCGCTCTATCATTTTCATCATTTTACAGAAGGTTTTGATTCAATTGAGATAGAAGCAGTCATGGAGGACCTTGATAGTAATGGAGTCCATACTCAGTACATAAAGGTTCTTCGTGAGTTGCACAAAAATTTCACAATCAAGATATCACCATTCTACAACGTTATTGACGTCAAAAAAGGAGTTAGGCAAGGCAATACCATCTAGCCAAAATTATTTACCGCCACCCTCCAGAGCGTCGTGTGAACATTGAAATGGAATAATATGGGAGTGAAAATCGATAGTCAGCAGTTACATCATCTTCGCTTTGCTGATGACATCGTCCTTATAACACCAAACATTAGCCAAGCGGAACGTATACCTGCCGACTTTAATAAACCATGTGGAGAGACTGGTCTTCGACTAAATATCACAAAAACGATGTTCATGAAGCTCGGATTGGTTTCGTATGTCCCATTCACGCTCAACGGAACGAAGATCTCCGAGTGCTCCAATTATGTTTGTCTAGGTTGGGAAATCAACATGTTGAACGACTTAGCTCCAGAGCTGAGCAGAAGGAAACGAGCGGCATAGAGAGCTTTCAAAAGCATCGTGGATGTAGTGATTATGATAAAGAACACTCGTCTCCATGCCCACCTTTTCGACTCAACGGTACTTCCTGCCCTAACGTATGCGTCAGAAACTTGGTCGCTACGTAAGCAGGATGAAAGATCATTCAGCGTTATCGAACGCGCAGTCGAAAGGACGATGCTGGGAGTATCCCGCTTCACACACGTAAGGTATGGTATCCAAAACTCCGACCTGCGTCAACGATCAAAAATCAAGGATACCGTTCCGTACGCCAAACGGTCGAAGATAGGGTGGGCCGGACACGTAATGGGTATGAATGACAACCGATGGACGTGAGCCGTTAGTGACTGAATTCCTCGGGATGTCAAGCGTACTGCAGGAAGACCACCGACCCAATGGTCAGAGTTTTTCGCGATGAGCCTAGTAGAAAGATATTATGTTCAACAAATCCCTAAAGCAAGCAGGACCGATTGGGCTACTCTTGCACACTACAGGGAAAAATGAAATATTTACTGGCGCCCGCTCGAGTCACTGGGTGATCAACGGGACTACAGGTGATTCAGGTAAGGCGGTCAAATGGAATTGCAGCAACAACTTATTAGAACAGCGTAAAGATCGCTGTTTGAGGAGACTGTTTTGGTGTTTTAAGTGCACTGCGAAAAGCCATCCCCATGGTCTGTCGTGGGTGTTTGTTCCGGTTCTAATAACGTGCTGAGCGGCCCGATATTCTCACCGATCGACATCGTAAGTGGAGCACTCAGTATGCGGGGTGTAGAAGTGGTTCATTGCTGGTTAAGCTTTATGCAGTTTCGTGGTATGTAAGAGCAGCAGAGCTGGAGCTGAGATCTTCACTACGGATAGTCACTGGCTCTTATAAATTAGAAAGAGATTTGGCAACTTCCGAAAGTCATCGTTTACCAGGATTGCGGTTGATTGTGGTATTGTTTTACTCTAGCTGGTTTTTGGTGTGGAAATGTCGAACTCCTTACCTATGGTAGGATGCTGAGATATAAAGCTCCTGCTCTGTATCGCTGTCCGACACGCCGGATCGCCTCCAATCACAAAGAGGCGTCAAGTCATTTGGAAGATTCCGATTTTTTAGAGGTGACAAACTATATTTTTTTCCGGTATACGTAACTACATGAAATAGTATGTAGGTGAGAAGTGTGAATCCAGAGCTCCAATACGTCTACAAAAGTATTTCTTTTCCGGTCTTTTTCGTGAAGGCTCGTATCTGTCATAGCGAAGGGACTAATTCAGCGGCGTTTCGTGCAGCAATACGCGATCGTGTGACACAATCTATCGCTGATGTCTTCAGCTGCAGCACTTGGAATAAAACATTTGAAAACTTAAATTTTGTTTCAATTTTTTTAATTCCTGTGTTTTGAACAGTCTTGAAAAACGGGTTTTAAGAAGTCTGTTTGTACTATTATAACGATAGATGTAAGATTCTTCTATACGTATATTAAGTTTTTAATAATTTGCTAAATTATCGAGAAATACGCGGTGTACGAAGAAAATTTGGCCTGACCACTAATGTGTTAATGATGTTTAAGATGGGACGACAAAACAAAGACTTATTGTCTTTCTGGCACGAAGTCTTGGATCAGCAATAGTCCTGTAGCCGACGTTATGATCGTATGGGCTAGAAGTGACAAACATGAAAATGACATCAAGGTTCGTGAACCAGCGAGAGTATTTCATTGTTCGGACGTTAATTACTGAACGTAGTCAGAGCTACCAGGTTCCTTTGTTAACAAGCGGGACCATGAGAGGTGTACATAATCTTGTGTGCAGTCCTGAGGCACCGAATTCAGTTTATTGTGGTTCAGAACTTCCTGGTTCTGTAATTAGTGCTACAGTAGTTGGGTAGTTACGTGCATGGACGCTCCAGAGATCTCAGTGGTCGTTAGCTTCCTGTATTTACAATAAAACCTACCTTCACTATGAACGTTAAATGGTCACTATTTTTATTAGTATTTTCTGTTTTGTCTCAGAACCGCATTTTATTTTAGGGATTCATATTAGAAAAAGGAATGGATGGTCTGACAACCCCGAAAATAGAAGGGAAACTGTCGCTCCGTGCTTCGATCACTGGTCAAATAGCAATGGACGATGTTCCAGTACCGGAATGTAATCTACTTCCAAATGTGAGAGTTTTTTCCTACACTATCGGCTCAAACGCCATAGGCAGTCGATATGACAAGTAAATGCTGAGCACTCAAGTGCTGATGACATTTTTAGGTCAAGGGACTGTTAGGTCCTTTTGGCTGCCTAAATAATGCCCGATTGGGAATAGCTTTCGGAGCCCTTGGAGCGGCGGAAGAGTGCTTTCATCTAGCTCGGCAGTATGCTCTTGAGAGGTATTCCCCTACATTTGAGCGTTGTGAAATTCTCTCGGAAGTTATACTAAATATGTACTATTAGTGCTATAGCGAATGTGTTTTGCCATAAATTTTTTCTAATTAAGAAAGTACTCGTGTAGAAGTTGTCAGTATACCCATATATTTAAAAGAGAGGTGATAATCATAATGTCTTAACTTCTTATTTACTGCCTATTCTTTTTTCATGGAAGAGTACTACGTGAAGCACAACAGCAAGGATGCTGATGATGAGCAACGATGACCACAAATTGAACCTCGTGAGGTGGATTTTGAACCCACGGTTGCCTTCGCCAGAGGCTTACATGCTGTTTAAGACACACCCCCAGGCAATGGCTTTGTTTTTCTCAGCCGATTTTTAACCCTGTCGGAGCCATCAACGATCATCCATGAACGGGTGTGATCCAGAGAAAACAAATCGCTATTGGACCGGTGGGGTCAGATTTTCGATGGACAGTTTAAGCATCCGTATCTACTTAATATAGCCCTTTCTACATCAGAAGCCGTGGGAAATATGAAAGGTATATTAGTGTGATAAAGTTCAATGGTTGCTTGACGATTTGAATAATTAATCAAACAACTTGTAGTGAAACGATTAGTTAGTGAGACCCTTGTTGATTGCTTCTGTCCTTCCTCCGTTGGTGGCTGTTGCCGTCAAATAAGATTTATAAGGAGGCATGTATTTGCTTTCATTCACTGTTTTTCTTTGATGAGTAGAGACGAGGTTATCAGCTGAATAAGTACTGTAGTAAGAATCACTTGTCCTCTTCAAAAAAAGTGGTTTATTGATCAATGCCGAGGTTAACAGGAGGTAAGTCCTAGGATTTGCTGCATCTATGTGCCTCGAGGTCGGTTTGTTATTCCGTAAACTCGGGTAACTAAAGCATTAACAACATGGTGAGAATATCAAATGTTCAGCAGTTACATAAGGACTAGTCAGTGGTCCAGGTCGATAAGTGTCTACAATTCTTTCCAACTTACATATTAGTTTAATCTTACAATTGGTCCAGGAAGCAGCGTGAAGAAGCAGGAAGTATTCTGTTTTATTGGGAATGTTCTCTGGAGAATTATATTCTGGAAATAGTTGACGCAGGTTTGAAGAGATTTAGTTAGGAAATAGTTGCTCATATTCGAACATTTCTCTGCAAGACGTGTTCCTATACAAAAATTAAAATTTGCGAATTCTTTTCGTGTACATCGTTTGCATTCTCTTTCATTTCCAAGAAGATTTTTAAGCTTAAGATTCAATTTATTATTCATCCATACCTTTTGGTGAGTTCCATGGTCGCTATTCTCTGAGGAAAATGAATTTCTACTAGCCTGGTGGTGTATTAGGAAAAGGCTTGCTAAACGGCTTCCGATCTCGTTGTAGCCACTCGAAGCCCCACTCTATACTTCTGAACTGTTTGGTTTCATGATTAGGGTATGTCAAAATTTTTAACATTATCAATGAAAACGAATTTTGAGGTTTCAATTTGGTCGGCCTCTTGCCCAAAATCAACTCATTCAACTTAAATTTGCTGACATGTTGACTGAAATCACATTAGGACTGCAAGCATGCTTAAGAGTTGCACGGTTAAAGGTTTGTTTTTAAACCCTGTTTTACTTATAATAATGAGAACTTTGTTTTTCTTTTCATCAAGGATGAAGGCTTGGTAACTCCTGAACAAATTTCAATGATCAAGAGAAATTCGTGTGGGAAGTCTCTAGAAATTGCTCGTAAAGCCCGAGATATTCTTGGTGGAAATGGAATTGTTGATGAGTACCATGTCATGAGACATATGATCAATTTGGAAACAGTAAACACGTATGAAGGTGCGTTTTTTCTTGTTTTAAATACGTAGGCAGTCAGGACTCTTGCAATGATATATTTCCAATAAAAATGCTATTATGAAACAAGAGATACTTTGCAATCACTTATTGAAACACTCCTTTTTAAACCACCTGAGTTACTTCATAATGACATGTGTGAACCTATCTGTTGTTTGAAATCGGCTCTTCGTTTTTGTTCATAAAGCTCCATTTACACGTACTTTGTACTGAATTGGTAACAAAATCCGACATACGAGAATACTGATAATATTGATAAGCAGAAAGCTCTATCGGAAGCCTCATACTGAGAGGGGAGTGAACCGTAACTCCAGGAATTCTTGCCACCGCCGAGGTGTGACGGCATCTCTGACCACCTTTTGACCAAGGAACACTTTCAAGAGTGACTAACGCAGTGATTAGAGGTGTCATCACTACACAAATGGTTTTTTTGGATTTCACGTAAAGGACGAACCATCCCCTATCCAGCAAGGGTTGGAAAATTGGAACAAAAACTAGGAGGATAAAGAATACTGATGTGATACGATCTCGCAAATCACTCTACGGGCGAAATACGCATTGGTTTACTTCTGTGATACTTAATGTGATAGTATGCATGGTTTAAACCGCATATTTTTTTTCTATAAAGTCCACTTGAAACGCAAGCCGTTTTTTTTTTCTCCTGAAGCATCATAAGAGTTCTTTGCTTATTACGTATACCTGTCTATTGCTCCTATTTTTAAAGTAGTTTTGCAGTTTAACTCAGTCTTCCTGGGCATTTAAGGTTTTTTCTGCACTCTTTTTTCTTACCGTTGTCTGTTTCATCTATATAGTTCTAATTTTCTCCCTTTTGTTTGTTGCAATTGTTTATGTTTGTGAATTGAAACCCCACGGTTATGTTTTCGCCACCTAGATCAATGGCAGTCAAATTAGAGTGGATCAAGGCTTTCTGCTTGAATACACCTGACTAGCACATCTTTATGATTTATTTATAACTAGTATTTACTTCGGACTTGATTATTGGGGAGTCCAACAGATACGGACTGGTGGATTAGTCGTGATACCCGACAACGTTTGAAGTGAGTAAGAAGTTTATTGTGTTCTGGTTACACGAAACTTACACGATTGAGAGATTGTTGCAGTTACAGCAGGGCACCACGTCAAGAATAGTGCGCACTACTCACAGAGCGCTTGAACTGTATTTTCTGAAACATTACTAGCACACGCAATATGTAACCGGAATGCAAGGCTCTGAGTTTCGGAACATATATTATTCATATTTCGAAACCCAGTAGAATAAACGTCGATATAGAAGCGCATATTAACCGCTCACCTAACAAGAAGAACAGATAATGGGTGGACGAAAATAACAGTGGAGTGGACTCGAAGAGAATGCAGGGATCCTCTTGAACGACCATCCAAACGATGGGGGACCATGTTCGTAGGTAAGGTCAACAATCTGCATTCACAGAAGGGAACGATTTTAGGACTGCAGAATGGGCTTCGTGAACGTTATCATATTCGAAACAGACCACCACCATGAATGACGTAACCATGAATCAAAAGGAGATCGATATGTTCAGTCGCCACTACTCACCAGTCTCTCCAGTTTATGGGAGCAAATTTTATGTATTTTACGATTACTAATATTTTGACGAGGTCTACAATACCAGGTTTGGAATGGTGGTGAAGGTGAATACAGGATTGAAGAATTTGGAAGATTCCAGACAAATATGTGGTTAAGGAGCAAGTTTATTGGTTGGACCTCTGCAAGTTTGTTTACCAAGCAATTCGTTTGATACTGCATATTACAACCGAGATTAACGTGCACAGGAAGAGCCTCCTGTTTAGCTACCGTAGCCGGTACCATAATGCAACCACTTGCTCTGTTCAAATTTGAAAGCTCACACTGCTATAAAGAAGAGGTCCAAACAGTAAGCATGCTTGTTAGGTTGTATCGAGAAGCTTCAAGAACACCCTGAATTTCCATAGATAATGAAGGTGGTTTTTTTCATTGTAAAATTTGACGACTACTCGTAGAGATCTAATCGTTGTTCTAGCCCAATTATGACCCACTTATTCCGCTCCAAAATACACCATAATTAGCCGGATATGTTACAGGCTTTACATCTTACACGGAAGTGAAGATTCGATATGATATTTGAATATAAGTCCATTTATCTAACGACGAGAAATGTATGACAAATTCTAAAATTTCCTGACTCCCTTGATACAAAGGTTCAGACTCTATTGACGTATCCACTGCGGTATCCGTCAACATGCTTCCTTCAGCACTGTTATTTCTCTTCGCGCTCCACCGGAACATTTATCTTCAAGGAGTTGAGACTTTTGTAAGAGCGCAGGATTACTTTCCAAAGTTGTCCGAATACGGTATTAAAGAGAATTAAGGTGCTGCAAGTATGGTAGTGATTTCTGCGGAACTGATCGCACTAGCGCTGTTTTGGGTCCAGAGAAGTTTTTTCATACTGTTACCTTCGTAGTTTTGTTGCGTTGACTCTCACTTTGGAATCCATTTAGATCAAACGGGTCAGTTTTTTGAGTGAGCCAATTCTCACTTGTTTTGAATCACAGTTCTTTACCATTGCGCCCGTCGATACATTAGCCGTTTTTTCAGCTCGCAGATCATTCCAGTTTTTGACTACTAGCTGAGTAGAAATTTTTCATGTGTTCATTACTGAGCTCAGTTCATAAGCATTTTCAGACTACGATCATGGTAACATTCAGCAATTATTGTTAAATGAAAAGCGCGAAGAGGTCACCTGCCTACCTATTATTCAAGGTGTTTCGAATTCTCGTCAATGTTCTTGTAAGGTTTGATCGCGTTACAAATCGCAGAGGGAGGAATTTTTGTAATTGAGTGGGATAATCACAATATATATGCTGTGATTATGAGTGCCGATAGTAAGGGCACAGTGTTTTCTGTGTAGTGTGCATGTGTAGAGTTTTCTATTCTGAAATGGAGACTAACTGAACTAAAAAGGGAGAAATGACAAGCATCGAAGTCGTATCATCTATGCTTAATTGTATGGGTGATCTTATATTGACTTAAGAATTCACTATATGTTGAACCACTTGGACCCACTTGATTGAAGTCACAGTTTAGATGGAATAGGAATATAGTGAAGCATTGTGCCGAGATAAGTTAATTATCTAAATTTTACTACTTTGTCATTTGTTATGAGTTGTCTATTCATCATTATTGTTCACTCAAGCAACATCACTACCGTTGACCTCTCAGCAGTAAATCTTTATTCCAGGCACTCACGACATCCATGCACTTATTCTTGGTCGTGCCATCACTGGGTTAAACGCCTTCAACTAAATCAACACTAACAGGCTGATCAGCTTGTGAAATATGTTGTTTCACTTACTGCATGTAAAATGCCAGTGAAGATAAAGTTTTATCCATTTGTGTTAAAACGAATATGATTTGGATAATTTATTCAATTCTTACATAATAACAACGCGTAACAACTGCCGATAAAAACCTATTTTGTGAAGTGAGACCGTCAGAACGACTGCCTTGGTGAGTTAGTTGAATACGTCTCCGTGAGAATGTGACTCCTACGAGGAAATGTTCTCAACAAACGGCTAGTATGTCCACTCAGTGGATTTTCTCATCTCCTCGGATTTTGATGATTACGACCAAACTAACTCACCGTGGGTTTCAGTGAGCATAAATTCTGGAAAAGAAGTGAGGACATCCTTAAAGGAAATCATTAAACTGAGTTCGCTACAAAACTGCAGCGATAATGAGCATTGTCTCATCAACACTGTAGAGATCATCAGATGTCCCGGATAACGATGAAGAAAGAATGAAATAAAGAGTTAGTTGTATCTTAGAATGTGCGACTATTGTTTTAACTGTTGAATAATTAATAATACTATGAAAGACTAGAAACAGACATTAAAGCAGAAAGAAATTTTGTTCTGCCTTTCTACCCAGTCAAGAAGCTAAGCTAAATACCACGTATCCGGTAAAAAAAATAATGGAAAGTTAAGCCTTGAGGTTGGCCTTGTAATTCCTCAATTCATTTAAATACTGTAGAAATCATAGGTGTTCAAGTCTAATGCAAGTAATCAGTAGATAAGGGAAACAGTGATTTCCAAACATAGAGATGTGATTAGTTGTCATTGCGTTTTAGTGAGGTTTTTGCAGAAGTACGGAGTAGTACGAGTGGTTCTCATGAGGCTCAATCAACACTGGGATTCCGAAACTGCATTCGCGAAACCCGCGATACAACTGGGGGAGTCGGAGCCACTCTCACTTCCATCTGAAAATAATGATGTTAAGACGATGCCAAGGAGCCACACTACCAGGAAGGATTTCTAAAGATTTCTTCTAAACTTAATTATCTAGTTGGAAAGTTTGGTACTTTTCCATTGTACAGATAATACACTGAAGCATTTCATGTATTTAAATCCAAAACACATGTCGCTTCCGGATCGTTTGTACTTATTTGTAAAACAGAAGATAAATATGATCTTCAGTGAGGTGTAAAACCATAGCGTGGAATTAATCACTATTAAAATTATGGGAATTTTAATCTATTTCGTCACAGAACTGTGGGCGTAGGACCACGGTGGTTCATAGCAAATCGAAGGATCATCAAGAGCGTCTACATAACGTCCTAATTGCCACATATGCGAATATTGGTGTGATTTATGTCGTCTGAACAACAGCATGATGTTGCTAATCGTCTGGAAGTGTGCCTAGAAAAGCACTGTTGAACTTAAGGTGAAAGTCATCCGCTAGAATGATAAGGCTGAAGAAATCCCAAGTTGTTCTCCTATTCCGTACCTATATTAGTTGTAAGCTTCACAATAAGTTTTACTCTTTTTCTAAAACACCGATATTAGACCACGACTCTTTTCTATCTAGAACTGAACATTAAGTGATTTTTACCCCTAAAAATTTGAATATCTCATTTTCCACGTCGTGCGGACCCCTGCACTTTCGCATTCGTCTAGTTGTTTCGGAACCGTCATTACCATAGAAAGTGGTCAGATCTGCATGTGTGTTTTGCTGTTGCCTGAGAACCCTTCGTGTTCTATTCTAATTGACATGTTTAGATGCCAATCGAGTTCTATATATATTTCTTTGTTCCTTTTAGAATCCTATTAAAGCAGTATTAGTGCCCCCAGCTCCACCACAGACGCCAGCCATGGAACGGAGGGAAGTTTGCTGCTTTTAACTAGGGTCTGTGAAAGATGACACCGAAACCTTTCGTGACAATGATCCCTGCCATTACCATTAAGGTAAAAAAAAAACCGGTTGACAGAAAGGCAAACCGAGGATTTCAGTGGTACAGTGGGTAATATGTGAGTCCCCAAAAAAATAATTGCTAGTTCGAGTCTGGCATAGGGTTTGAGTTTTGCAAATATGTCAGCATCATTGTGATTGTATTTCACATAACATCTTGCCATGAAAAAAAATAATAGGCAGAAAATGAAAAGGTACGGATTGGTCATTATTATACCGAGCGAGGAGCATATAACATGCCAAATCTTCATTCAAAGTTCATAAATTAACCAACAGCTTTATTGTTATTGATGAATCGACATCATAAAAGGGTAACTTTAGATTTTATGATCACACAATGCATCTCATTTTGAATACCACAGCAAGCGGAAACGGCACTTTCGTGCTCTACATAAAGACTATCCTATGATGCACGCAGTAGATATTAGAAGCTTTTTTGTGTAATCCAAGATGCTAAGTTTCGGACTTTGCTGTGGCATGCTAGAGATCTCTACTCCAAAAACATGAAACGATATTATCCCTCGAGATCGTGAAAGAGCAAACTTGGCAGAAAGGTCCAAGATTATCTAATAAACGTCGTGTCAACAATCTGATTTCAGGTCATTAAGAATATAATGGTTTATTGGGACCAGTTACATATATAGTAGAGTATCACTTCAAAAATATGCTCTTGACAGGTAGCAATGCGAGAAATTTGTCCAGGAAAGATCTATTAGAAGTGATGAAAGGCTCTCTTGCTTTTGACATTGCATCATCAAAATTTGATTGAACCTACGGTATCTAGATGGAAGGATCACCAGCGAAAGACTGTCGAAACAGTAGCAGAGAATGAGATACCTACTGACAGCGGATGTGTTTTTGATAGGCTTTCTCGTGTCAGTAAAACTTCAATTTGTGTGTTTTGTAGAGGCAGTTTTGTAGATTATCACTAAAGGAAAAACCGTGATAATATTGCAGCTTACAAGCAACAATGTAATTAACTATCTTTAATTGGATTTTATACAAAAAATTAACCGCTCTCTAACCACATGATCATTCTGTACAACACAACATTGCATATGTTATATATTTGGCGCATGTGGCGCAGTGGTCGGAGGCGTCCTGCAATATATACGGGATCGGTTCCATCTCTTCGAAGGTCGGCAAATTGGAACCAAACTTGTCTGGAGGGATAGCAGCACTGACTCGATAGATTGGTAGGGCGACAGAGAGTCATTGTAAAGGCTAGATATGCATTCAGTCATCTCCAAATGATGGTTAATGAAGTCGAATGCATGGCGCTTTCCTCAGGGATTTATCAACACCGAGAGCTTTATCCTTTTCGTCATTTGTATGTTTAGAAAGTCCACCGTTATAATATACAACACGGTTTCGTCAATAGTGCGAACAAAGTTTCCTTCTGTTTGTTATTACTTAATAAAAAAGAAGAAACCACTTATAGGAAATGATTAACGGGTGCATACCAGAGGAAGTTATGAGGACTCACTGACTCTAGATGGCCATATTTGAAGCAAGAGTGATAGAGTAGCAGCTGCTTGTGGCACATCCAACGTTTTCAGTCCTTTAACCGATGGCGTTTCGATACAACACAGTAGTAACGGTGCAAAAACCTGCGTAATAACGAAAATATAATTCATCTATAGTTTCACTTCTTATTTCACTATTTTTATTCTATTTCACTTGCATATAAGAGGCACAAGACCATTCTACCATATATAAAAGGTTCTGATACAAGAGCTTTAAAAGTTTACACCAAAGTGAGTTGAAAGAGTGAAGGGTAAGACATAAACACAGCACCTCCTTTTTGAGAGAAAATATTCCCAATATAGTATACGGATACGATCTTGAATGTCAAACGGTAATGTATAACACGGAGTTGTTTGTAATTTACTACTGACAATGATGCAAACATGACAAAAAATCGGTATAAAAGTGGAAGACATAGCATTGATCAAGGGTGATGAACTACGGAATATGCTGATAATACCTGGATATGGCTACCTCAATATTCAAAATTCAGCCAGGCAGCGAATTCCACATGCTGTTTATTTAGTATTAGAGCTATGCTCTCTTAAGTAATACTGGCTTAACGAACAGTGACCAGCAGTTCCCAGAGCTAACCTTCAGCAAAATTTTTGCGTATTCGCACCATAGAAAATTACATCCTTGGCAAGAAACATATACAGGCCAAAAAGACTATAAGCAAAATTGACGACAGATGAGGGTAACAGTGGACTGGACCCAATGAGGATTCAGTCGTCTTGAAGGCATAACACCTGAATACAAAATGGAGAAGCGTGCTTGCGACTCATATTGACAGGATGCTGGAAACACGTTAGGCCAGAAAATGGACCTCGCCCATGCCTAACCGTCGTAAGAGTATAAAATGAGCAAAAATTAGATATATTGCCCATCCATACTTTAGATGACCAATGATGACACGCTTCCGCCTACAAATCCCAGATCTTTCCCAAATCGTTTTGTTATCTTACAACCGTCAGATAGGGTACCTTCTCCCATTAATGTGTTGAGGAGTGGTCGAAGCTATTTCTTCGTGGAAATTCGACATAACTGGGCTACGATGTTCTCAGGTCGTTATTCTAAACAAATTCTGGTCCTTATAACTAAGAGGAATATCTTTCCTTAAAATATGGACTCTTCCGCGTCGACAGAAATTCCAGTGTCGGCAGCAAATCCTACGATTGGTTAATCGATCGATCAGGAATGATGAAAAGAACAAATCAATTTAGCTACTAGATAAATACGAAGGACCCAAACACAAGAGTCGTTCAGTTAGCCAAACACCCGACTATCAAATTAAATATTGTTATATTTGAGAAATATAGAACGATTACGACATCTAGAAAAATCGCACATAATTCTGAGTTAATTCGAATTTTTACCTTGAAAAATAAAGCCGGGATATTTTTCTCACTTATTCATTAAAAAAGCCTATTAACTTTTAAATAGCCCATTTTAAATAGCCATTTTAAATTCCTATAAACACTTACAGTCGTGAGACGAGAAAGTGTTAAGCCGTTGTGAGGTGAAGATGACAGTACGGTAGCGAGGTGGTCCATAACGAGCAGCAGAGTGTTCTAGAAGATATCCATTACATTTAAAGCTGGAGTTATTGATACCAAACTATTAGAAAACCATAACAGGAGGAACTGGTGCAGTAGTTACGATTCCTTGTCAAAATATAATGAAATGCTGAAAAAATCTCGGTGCCGGTGACTCAGTGCCTAATCTCTACAAGAATTCTTTCGCAGTGGCTATAAAAACAAAACATTTACGCTGAAGAACGGGAAAAATGAAAGCGCTGCTATAGGTAAAGCGGCTAGAAAAGGTAAAAAAGGATATCTGCTTCTGGGATATTCCCGCCAAGCAGGAAATACAAACACTATGGTGAAAAAATTTTCACGAGTTCCCATTTTGCAAACTTCTAAAAAGGAGTACAAAAATCATACCCTATTTGGCAAAGCTAGGCAGTCGACAATGCGCAATACAAGTTGGCGATTTCCATGGATATCGTTTGGCAGTGTTACAGCAGCGGCATCAATTAACATTGCGTAAATTTGCGGAGGAATCAATGGCTCAGGAAGTTCACGAAGAAAATCCTGGAAAGTGTTCGAATTAAAATTTAAAACACAACGAACGAAGCTGGTTTTTTAACAACTACCGATAATTTCTCCATAACTGGAGTATCTGAGGAGCTTAGGAGGTAACAAAGGTTTTGTTCTATAAGCTCAAGAGCATGCACAATTTTTGTAAAGTATTCATTTGTTTCTAAAATTACTTTGGATAAAAATTTACAAAGTACCGAAAAAAAGAATCCTATTTCCGCAAGCCATGCATCGACCTCAATTCATAGCCCGTTATGTGTTAATTTGGTCCTATAGAAATAATCACGTCTATGTATTTCAAATAATTTTGTGACCTACTATGATTTTACAAACAGACCTTGATAAGGCAAGCAAGAACGTTTGTATCAGGAACACTGTCCGTATTCAATTCACATCCCAGAGGATTCGCCTCCAATTCATCGCGCAGAACTCGTTTTTTCTCAACTGACCCACATACTGCAAGTACATTAAAGCATAAGCGCAAACTTAACTACGCAGTAAGAACTGAAACCGTCCAGATTATGTTATATGCATTATAACAGCTTTTATGAGAAAAATTGGTTAGAAAACATTGCCTAACCTAGGTTAGACCGACTTGTCAGTCTTAATACAAACGAAAAGTAATAAAACTATAGCACCTAACTATAACAATAAGGCCACTAAATAATTGATTGGATAAGTTATGGACTTACAAACATATAATCCGTTATAGTCAACACCACGCCTTTCGACTTCCTGAATCAGACGGGTGAAAGCGATTGGAGTCTCTCGCATTTCTCGAGAAAGCAGACGAGCCAGAGACACACCAAAAACTCTTAAAAGAAAAGTGCTGTGGGACAGCCTTATAATGCAAATGCTTGGATCGGACAAATGATAAGTCTTTTACACTATAAGTGAAAGTGTTTTAGTGATGAATAATTGGAATCGATGTGTTTGATCGTGACTTTCAGCACGTTATGAATTATTAAGGCAGGTGCTGTTGCCTAGATACCATGGCAAGCAAACTTTTGATTGAATCCAACCAATCCAACACCAGAAAATCGCCAAGGCTACATTTTCCCAAAATTCTCTGCTCAACAAGTCGTTGCTCTATTGTCTCTTTTTTCGATATCTGTTGTGGTCACAAATAATTAGTATATTAATGTGTCGTTTCCTTGTTCAGCAATCGCGAGGTTTTTAAACAGCATATATTTACTTCCGTAAAAACACAATACAAAACAACGCTAGCTGACGTTTCAGCAGTATCGCCTTCTTCAGAGCCTGGAAGGGCATGCTGATTACAATCCACTAGGCCAAACGCGTCAATAACACTTACAAAAAGACGAAAGACTCCCTGGTAATTACATGATCAACAACTTCTCGAAAAAAAAACAGCCACCTCTGTGTGCACTACCAGGGAACTAAAGGAAAAATCGCGCCACTTGGCTCGGCAAATAGCCATCTCCAATGGCTACGAAAAACCCCACGAGATAAGTTTACAAGAATGACGCGCCCACGCGAAACACTTGCCCAAAAGAAAGACCCGTTCATGTTGCCTTTTATAAGCGATGAAGTAAGCGTAGCCATAAAACGATGCTTAAGAAGGGCAAGTCTAGAGGAATCGGTAGCGATAGTTGAAATACCACCGGCTACTCTACGTCGCCAATTAGTTCGCAACCGCCTGTATGACCGTCTGTGTGAAACAACAACTTGCGTAATTTGCCCTTACGGCAGGGACGGCGATTGCATGAGTTCAGGTACGATATACCTGATCTCTTGTGACAATTGCAGAGATGAATATATTGGCGAAACGGGCAGACCCTTGTGTATCCGTATAAAAGAACACCTAGATGGCAAACGAAAACAGACGAAGCACCCCACTAGGCACGCATAGGATACAAAAGGAGACGATTTTGAAGTAAAAGTCAATATCCTTGCACAGGAGTCTAAAACACCAGCGCGAAAGCTTCTTGAGGGTTTTTGGATAAATGCCAAAAACCCCACAATGAATAGCAGGGATGAATGCTCAGAGGTCATACGCAACCTGATCCCGTATGTTCGCATCAATTCCTGTTGTAGGATGGTGCAGCCATCAACCATATGCGACTATAATCAGCTGTTCTAAACTTCCTCATTGGAAGTCACGAAAAAGCGCTGGATTTTTTCGAGAAGTTGTTGATCATGTAATTGCAAAAGAGTCTTTCGTCTTTGTGTAAGTGTTATTGAAGCGTTTGGCCTAGTAGATTGTATATCAGTATACCCTTCCAGGCTCTGAAGAAGGCGATACTGCCGAAACGTCAGCTAGCGTTGTATTGTATTGTGTTTTTATGGAAGTAAATGTATGCTGTTTAAAAACCTCGCGATTGCTGAACAAGAAAACGACACATTCATATTCCAATGCCGAGGTTAAGAGAAAGTCGATCCTGGGAACAATTAGTATATTATTTAATCATTTCTTGAGCCGAAACCTTCTGTGGATCCCAGCACTTCTTAAATTCCATCCCAGTTATTAAAATATTAGGAAATTATAGAAGTAATCATATAATACCACATAAAACACCTGCATATAAAATGACAAAAAAATCTCAGCTGGGATCAATAAACAACTACCATTCCTGTGGGTGTCCTAGAAAAACTTAGTTCAATCGCTTTTAAACCTTTCGCAAAAAAGCCAATTTTTTTATTAACGTGATAATTTCTCGATGTCTGCACAGATTTGTAAAAGGGACTTCGCTCTATCGCATTAGTTGCATGTTCTTACGAATTTCAAAAGAACTGCAGCTGCAAGGATAAGAGCTACACTGAAAAACCCCGCCATGTCATTCTGGACGAAATCGCAATTGCTCGTTTGCTTTCGAATGTGAAATATCAGCTTTGAAGTAGTAAGGATGGCACAAATGGATTTCAGTGTCTCCAGAAAATTCGAAATTTCGTCATGACAACACAAGAGTACTTATGACGTGTAGATAATTATTTGTAAATTCCAAGAGCTTTAATTATAAATAGCAAGATTTGCCAAGAGCCCAGATGTGATGATTTAGAGCAGAAAGCAGTCACTGTCTTCTTATCCTATGACTTCTTTAGAGGTCACATCGTCGTTTAAGCGTGGAAGTTGCAATAAGTCGTTTCTACTGATGGATCAAAAACACATTTACCGCCATTATTTTGCTTCATGGAAGAGAATGAACAAAGATAATTCAACACTTTTTGCATTTGATTAAAGACCGCCGTAGGAAAGACTGAAGTGAAACAGAACTTAAGAAATTAAAAGGAAAAGATGAATGTACCCGTCCATTCGAGGATTGACTGTTCTTCGGAATACGGTTCGCATATCATGGAAACCAATGCGAACAATTAATTGACCACGTGGCTCCAAATTCAAAGCAAACATTCGATCGCCATTAAGCTGATCGACGATGAACGCTTCCAAGAGCTTTAATGAGCCCTTATGGCACAGTTTATGCCTGTAACCGACACTTATATAGCAGTTCACATTTGGACTGAATCCAGTACCATTTAAAAATAGACCTTCAATTCAAAACGAAATAAATAACCATGATGTCTAGAAATATTCTGGTAAAATCAGAGGAATATTTTTTGATCTAGAGAAATCAAAGGAAGATCTTATACCGATAGTTAAAAAATTACACTTCTACACCTAAACACTTCAGATATCGTAAATTTCAAAATGGAAGTCTTTTCGAAAGTATACACTTCACAGTGGCAAAAATGTGCTCCACGGTGTTGAACTGCGATGTACAGCAAATTCATTCCCCCCGGACGGTCACGCAATGACATGCGTTCAATAATCCATTCGAAAGCCTCAGATAAAAGCACCCCAGGATTAAGGGTGAAAAATTCATCCAAGCAGCAGAATACCAATCAAATACAAGCTGTGGAGATCGCTATCATGTGCCGATGAAAGGCTAATTGTTACATTGGGCGCCTCCTTTCAGAGTATGATCATGGTTCACTTAAATGGCATTCAGTTATTAATGAAACGTGGTACCGAAGCAAATGATGCAGCGGATAAGGCAAAGATAATAAAGGGTTAAAAAGATGGACATTTAAGGCGGGATTTTAGGCATTCGCGCATCTAATTCAGGAAATATTTACAGAAAACGATTTCCATTACTACGAGCCTGAATTGTGGATGCCATGAGTAGATAAAAAAGTGTGCAACAGTTGCGTCGAATACGTCAATGTGGAACGTCTCACGCCATCGAAATCGCTGCTCGGCAGTTGAGACCCCAGTTCGTGCCCTCAAACAAGAAGTTTGCAACGCTGGTTTTTTAACACTCTCACTTTTACGCTGACATATTCCTGTCATAAAACAAGTGATTACTCGAAATAAATTCATAATAAAGGAACTTAATGAAAGAGTAACATTGTCAATGATTTCACTCACCGATGTTGTTCATCAACTTCCAATACACAATACATTTCTTCGGTAACTGCCTTCTGCTTTTCCGAAAATTTTAACCCACGACCTTCCAATACCTTAACAAAAGTCGATAAAGGTATCACAGATAGTTGTTGGTACAACTAAACTTGAAGTGTATAAATCAATGTATAGATAGATACAACATTTACTCTACTCTTTGAGACCACGAATCTTCCTCACAAGAGGGATACTGAATCGTTTCGTTGTGATACTAAGCGACCTGTTCCAAGGGGAAGGATATGGGTACAAAAAAATGACCATATGCTTGCCCTTAGACAAACATCGATACAAGGAATGGAAACCCCCCTCTGCCGAGATGGACTGACGTATACCGTCTGTATGCATGCAATCGAATCCAAAACAAGCTTTATTTCCAACCACCTAAAGAAGAATATTTGAAGTGCTTTCCACACTTAGTTCTAGTCCGCTTAACAAGTATCGAAATATGTAGGGAATAATGATATTTTATTACTTTCTTGTATAGCCCTATATGATATCTTCGATCTCTTGACATCTCTCCAAGGACAAGGCTTATCTCCCATTTAAGAGCGCTATAAATTTAACGAAAGCTTATTCGCATTTGAACCTTAAAAACATTTTCCCCGATTTCTTCACAATGCGTAGTGCATAATGAGACTTTGTAAAACAAAAAGGTATATGTGTCTGAACTATGGAGCAGGAAAACAATGGTACTTGCCAGCCTTCTTGACAAACAACTAATATGGCACCTGGTCGCTTGTGTTCCCGAAATCTTTTGCCCAGCTGTAGCCTACGACAACTTGCAACCTCAGTGAGTTGGCTCAAATAATCGCGTCGTGAACCGTGAAAATGATACTATTGCCCACTTTTACACATTCATTTCACCACCATTATACCACTCGTAGACAGCTGAACCCTCAACTTTAGCCTTGTATACTCAAGCTACATGACTTTCTTCGGTAGTTTCTTTCCTGTTTGTCCTGAATGTACCAAAGCAAACGGTTTACCCCTTATTTATGTCTCAAATGCGCTACATAGTTACAGAACGCGGCTTGCCTCTCTTTACAGATTAAGTGTAGAGAACAGATTTTCACGAGCCACGTCTGTCAATACACACGTTTTTGTTAGGCCTCTATATTTTATTGGAATCTATGGTCAGAAGTTAATCAAGTAGACTGATCTTGTACAGTCTGTCTCCTTCGATCATAGGTTGCGTTGTCTGCTAAATGTCAATGAGATTTTCAAATCTTTCTCTTGTTATTAGGTTGGAGTCAACAGGACTACCAGCACATAAAACACTCAAACTCAAAAAATTCTTCAACTTTGACAGTCTAACAATTTCCATCGGAAGGAAGATAGATTTTCAGCTATGATTCTCTTCACGCCTTTAATAACTTGTCGGCTTAAATAACTTATCCTTTTTTGTTTACGTTTGGTCGCCTCTTTTACAACTAGATCCTAGACACCAGTCATAAATAAGTGCTACAAAAACTTATCACTCTCATCCAACCAAGCAGGAGCACATACTCCTTAGATGGCATCATCGAGGACCAAAGTTCTCTTCCCAATTACTGCTGAATTTATCACCACCGTCATCCTCCACCACCAATTCGCTTTCTTCAGATTATTTGGCGCGATACACAAGAGATTGTTTATTCTCTTCAGTTTCTTCAGCTTTCCTCGCAACGGTTTGCAGCCTCATCGCGGCTGGGACGTGTTCCTGGGTGTCGAGTTGCGGTGGATAGCAGGGCCTCCCAAGCTGATAACAAGTCCGGTGTTTCCATTAGGAAGCCCAGCTACGAGTAAGTCAGTACTTGAATCCACCACCGTCCTGGTATCAAATTAGTCGCATGGTGGCAAATTTCTTTTTGATCCACAAGGGGGCCGACTGCCTGCGGTGGTGACAACCTCGGGCAGACTTTGACCAGGCCGACCTCGGGACTCCAGTGAACAGTAGTGGCTAAAGCGGGTAAACTCCGAAAAAATGGATATAATGCTGGGGCCTGCACAACCAGCGAAAACTGAAGTGAAAACCAGAGTGAAGGGCTATCCAAGTATCTAAGTACCAAGCAAATATATTTTTTGGTCAGAAATAGACTGAACTCTTCTCTCCAATCGCCATTAAGAATCATAGTTATAATATTGAATGGGTATATATAAAAGATAAGTAAAACTGCCAAAGCTTTGTCTACATCTACAACCACACCGAAGATCAGAAATATGCGTTGGAAATTTTGCAAAGGTTATATAGGCAATCGGAAACCACAAAAGACGAGCATTTTTTTTGGGTGGCAATGAATCGAAAGTAAGAGCCACAAAAACCGCAATCGGGGAAAATTAGATGCTCTGACGAGCTATTGAACCAGCACATTTGATCCCTACACAAACAATAACAAGCCACAAATGTAAACCTTCCCCAGATTGTTAAACAACTTTTCCCAAGCAACACGCCTGATATAGTATAACATTCTTAGATAGAACTCACTTAAAATGAAAGGTTGTAAAGGTCGCAATTGAATTGAATGTTCCTATTGCTCCAATGGAATTGTAAGAATTATTACATAATCGGAAGTTGAAATGAATGAAATACAGCAAAAAATTATCCCTTTTTGAGCCACAAAATATACTTCCACTTGTAGCTCCAAAGAAAATGAGATTATAGCTTGTCACTGTAGATCTTAAGGATAGTGTAATCGTTTATAGAGAGAAAAAAAACGTTAAGAATAAGAGAAGTGGTCACTCCAACCTGTACAAAGAGAATACCCGTGAGACTATTTACATTCAGTCTATCGACATTGATACTTGGTCCAGCCGGTCGTAAAGGTGCTCGTCTAAAATCCCAAGAATGATTTCATCGAAAATGCATTTTAAGAAGAGCAGCAGACTATGAAAAATTGCAGCTGACCGGTTCATGAGTGGCGACACGTGGTATCGATCAAGTACTGCCGAAGGACGATCTTGAACTGCCGTGTGTCTGGGTAAAACCGGCGAGCCAACTAGTGACTGAAAACTATACTACCAGTTACGGTGAGTGGAACAGTGTAAATAGCTAGTTTTCTAAGCTAGAATTCCCTCATTCAGATGAACACACCAACTTCCACCATGGGAAGAGGTTCACGCACTTTGAATTGAAATGTAGTGTGCCAACGCTATTAGTATGGCTATTTAGGTCCATAATGAATAATGAAAAAGTTTTCTTGCTTTGCTAACCAAGCATATCGATGAGAAAATTTTAGGGAATTAGTTGATTTTTAAGCTAGATCAAGAACATTGCATCTTTGCCACCACTCTAACCTAATCCAGTGATCGGAAGACTCACCTGTGCCATTATGCTACGGCCAGGTAGGGACGTTGAGCGTGTGCCGCGCGGTTCACCGTATGTATGAGACCATCTGAATGTGCGTAGTAGATTAAATGGGTGGCAATTTCTTGAGCAATCATTCATTCTATTGTCACAACAAACATCCATGAAATATAGAAGACGATATTCCATGAAACAAGAAAGTATGAATGAAACCGTTCTTTCTCTTCCTCATCAAGGCTGTAAAACAAAAGACCTCATTGGAAAACATTCAACAAACGAGTCCCAACTAGATCTCCACTATGAACTAACAGCTCATTGATGCTATCTTCATTTGTGTACAACAACTGAATGGAAAACCAAGGATTGTATAGCCCCAAAAAGAAAGTGCTAGGGGAACAATTAAAACAAAAGACCAGGAATTCTGCAAAATTCTCCTCTTATCCTCACTTAATGGACAATATGAAGCAACTTCAAATCATATGTGATGGAGAATAAATCCACTCTCAACTTTAAACAAATCTTTGAACCTATGAAATTTGAACTTCATTGATCGAAGCGAAAATTCCTCAATCTATAGTAATGAAGTTATGATGTTCCAAAAAATACTTTATTCACCCGATTTTTCTTCCTAGATGGTCGTATTTCAAAAAGCAAAGGGAGTGAGCAAGTGGGATTTTACCCAGCGAGATATGGTGTGTCCCTTAAGGTACTGTTAATGTTTTCCGCTATTGTGTAGAACACTTTAAGACTCCAAAGTACGCCATCGATTTTTTTTGGTATTCGAATTTCAAACGATTTAAATCTAAAGCAACTATCTAAAAACACGAAAGACCGACTTTCCATGAACCTCGGCATAAATAGTTGATATATTTATTTATGTGATCTTATAAACTGATCTTCTTAAGCTGACGCGAGGTTGGTACAGATCTTCGTTGTCGTTGTCGTAGTCGTTGTTTTTGATGTTATTGATCGATGGCTGACGTTTCGGCGACTTCGCCTTCCTCAGAGCCTGGACGTACTTTATGTTAGAATACTTTTTATTATTCGGTGGAAAAGAAGGTTAAAGTATTAATGAAGATCAAACTTTCAAATAGACGCCATATTGAACACTGTGCTGTTACGTGCGGGACTGGCTCACACGTAGTTCACGTGGAGTCGCGAGCAAGACACGCCCCAGGGTCAAAATATCATTTTGAAATAGGGCGCCAGGTCACGCGTGATAGTGAGGCATT